GAAGTTATTCTACCCAAAATCGTATTGGTATTACTTATGTTCAGAGCAAAGTGAACCTCGTTCCCACAACAAGCTTCTGATTTAGTAGTCCGATGCGGCAGACTTCCATATATTATGTATGTGCTTGCTGAGTGTGCAATTATTTTAGAGACATTCAGTGACATGCTCATAGTACCCTTTTTGAGGGTACAAAGAGATAAGCACGTGGCATGTGAAAATCGTGGCCCATATTTCAAGCGGAATATGTCAAGTGTCGCACAGTGAAACACGAACTGGATTAAATGTCGATTGCAGCCGCTTCTACAGCGCGTCAAAGCTGTGTATATGAATATTAATGTGGATTATTTATTTACGATGTGCGGTGCAGCAAATCACGCTTTGCTTTGGATAAATAAGCAGCTGTCCGTTGACTCTAAATTATTAATTAGGTTATCCAAATGGTCGGTGGGTAAGCAACAACAAAACTGGCCAAAAAACATATTGCAATTAATGAAGTAAACAAAATTGCGGCGGGCATAGAAATTGAAAGCGCCACTTTTGCTTTTAAACTAGAACATTGCGTTTAATTGGGGGTCTCAATTAAATGCTGTGTTTAATTCAAATCGAAGATTGATTTCACAGCCCCCAATATCAAGAGCTCTTCAGTTCATTTGAGTAGGCTCATTAAATGTATAAGGCCAACTATTTCCATCAGCCACTCACTTAAAGCTTAACCTACTTACAAAATTTCAGGCACAAACAAAGCCTCCATAATTTGCTTTCAACAATGTCAAAAGAGTTATTTGAATTTGTTGCTTGTCAACGTTAATTCTAGTTAATTCTGTTTAATTTAAAGGAAATTATTAGTTTTGCAACTAAGTGAAACGTTCTGAAAATAAAACTTAGAGTGATTACAAAATGTAGAGTACATTTTGAAGTACATAAATAAAAGCTTATTAAGTTAGCATTTCCTCAAAAAAAAAATGTAGACTGTAATCAATTTATTTAGAGTTAATATTAATTTTAAATAATAAACAATTTATCTCCAGTTTTAGTTTTAGTCATAAATTTTACTCTCATCTTGATTGCACACTCTGTGCAGAGTATTGCATTGTCGGTTAGTGAAAGCAGCTTTTGCTGCTTTCCACTTATAATTTGGATTATTTGTTAAATTCCGCCAATTTGAATGCTCTCCGTGCACATTTGGACTATTTCCGTTTCCATTTGGCATTCAACAGTATCGACTCCTAGCTGTCCCTCCTGTTTAGGGCCGGCTTAGTTAATTGCGTTTCAACCCATTTGCATTTGCCGTTGTCAGACATATTCAACAGACAACTGGCACAGCTGGCAGATCAAGCTGTTGTCTACAATGCGTTGAATTTACTCAATTTGCAAATTTCCTCATTGATTTGCCAACAGACAACGGTGACGAGGGCAGTCGGAGGCCCGAAGGCGACGGGTTGCAATGCCCTGGCTTCTGAAACTTTGGTGTGTGTGATAGTATGTGTGCTAATGTGTGTGTGTATGTATGTGTGTGTGTGTGTTGGGAATACATTTTGGCCTGAGCCATTGGATTGATACATAGCTGAAGCGGGCAGCGGGCGACGGTTGGCGGTTGCCAGCTTGCAAAACTACGCAAAACATTTTGTAAATTGAATTTGTATTTTGAGTTTCGGGCGGCGCACACAAAATGTAGTTGAATTAAGTAAATATCAATTGAATATCCGCCTGCGGTGGCGGAAGTTTATGGCAGGCAATAAAATTATTTGCTTGCCCAGTTGATATAGCATTGTTGTTGTTATCGTTGTTGTTGTTGTTGTTGTTGTTGTTGAGGTTGCAACAACAACAACAACAACTTAAAAAGTAAACTCTTTGCGTAGACTGGCGGGCAAAGTTTCCGTTGCGGCAGGTCAAAATCAAAAGCATTGCACAGATTTTCTTTGTGGCATTAATAAATAAATCAGTGTGGGCCAGGCAACTTATGAAAAGCGCCTGTAAATTACAAGAGATATGCCACTCATAAAACTGATTTATGCCAAGCACAATGGCAACAAACAATGCTCACGTTCGACGCATATCGTGCAAAAATTGCGTTGCTCAAAAGTTAAACAGCGGCCGACTGCCAAAATAAATGGCACGTTTATCATACGCCCAGTGAGCCAGCCCAGTGCGTTCAACAATTTGGCAGCTGTATTTATATACCACAAACACGCACACTCATATACACACACTCACACACACACACACATATATATAGTGATGTGTGGGGGCATCGTTTTTGAACATATGAACATTTTGTATATGTCACGTCCCCCTGTCCGCTGCGCGGCCCGCCCTGACGCACTGGCATACTTAGACTATGGCTATGTTTTGCTTGATGTTTTCGCGTTTGCTTTTCAATTATATAAACATATTTAGATTATATTCAGTTAACACTCATACACACACATGCACGCATACACAGGCACAGCCGCATATGTTGTGCGTGTGTGCATTAAAATTATAAATTGTTTGCTCAGCAAAAAGCAACCAAATAAATAAATTCAAAAGAATGAACGCCATGAAACGAAACGAAAAACGAAAAACAAACGCCAAGCGCATAAATAGCTGACCAAAATCCACCAGAACCGAGCGGACAGCATTTGGAGCTGGCTGGGCGAACGCGTCGTATGCGCAATGGGAGGCGGCCGCCTTGAGAGAGCTGCAACAAATGAATGAAAACCAAGTGGCCGAAGCATGACATTGAATTGTTTTTGACTTGTTTTGTCACACCTAAATGCCATAATCATGTGAAAAATACATACCACATAAATCGGCGTACCTCATATATAATTATGTATGCGTGTGTGTGCATAAGTGTGATGACGCGTGTAAATTATTTTGTGTGGTCTTCTTGTTGAGGCGCCAGCCCCGTTGACAGCTGTCAATGCGACTGACGCACAGGGCTGTGGCCCAGGAATTGGTTAAGGCAATGGGCCAGGGTCAGACACAGATTTCGACCTTATAACGCCCAAAATCAAATCAGGCAATGCCAAGTTGACCACGCGTTGACCAAATATTTGCTGCGGTTAAGCTTTGAGCCAATGAAATTCCATTCATGTGTTTGACCGTTTATCTAGCTGTGTGTTTCTCTATCTACATATAGCTATGTCTAATTATGTGTGTGTGTGTGTGTGTGTGTGTGTGTGTGTGTGTGTGTGTGTGTGTTTGTGCTGGTGTGTGATTGTTCACGCCTTGCTGCACTAATTGGCATGCCTCATTGGGCGCCCCCTTCGCTGTCTGCTCAGACGGGGCAATATAATTGCTAATCTATTTTGCTTACTGCATAAATACATTAGCAAATTAGCAAAATCAACATCAAGGCGGTCAGGAAACTGCAGTTAAATCAACTGTAAAATTTATGGCATGTGTCAAATCTCATATGTTGTTCATTAAACACATTTCGCATTCTCAATTTGAACTCTGCCAGAGTCACGTAGCACTGTGGTAGATTCCAGCAGCAAGCATAAAAATGACAAAAATGCCACGTGCCTCATTAAGGACATGCTAAGAAGCCGGCCCACAACGGACACACGTAACACAATTAGCCGACCTGTGGCAGGGTCAACACAAACAGGCAACATACACATGCCGCAGGCTGAAGATAAGAGCCACGCACACAACGAAGCAACAAGCGCAATAAGGGGCAAAAAACAGTGTTGTATAGTGGTTATAGTGGTTTCATAAGACAAAGCAACACTAAATTTTTACAAAATTAATCAATACTCAATTTAAAATGCAAAAATTACAATTATTTAAAATGTATTTATGTTTCTTCATAAAAAGTGTTGAATGCCTTGAAACATTTATCAAGGCTCAATAAAACCAACCCAGTAAAACGCACATACAATAAAAACAAAACGATGTATCCAAGAAAAACAAAATAAGTGTTAATTAAGAGTATTTTTACTCTTTTTCAACACTAAGAAAGCTTTTGGTACTGCTCAAATGACACATGCCGCTTTCAGCTCGTGCCATTTGGGCATTCGCGTTGTCCAAATCTACATCCATGTGCGTGTGACGCATACATTTTCATTTCGTTTAACATTTGAGCCACATAAAATGTCAAAGGACATGGTAGAAAATGGTAGCTCAGCCCCTTCGGGCAAAGGCAATGTAAATTTAATTTGGCTGCCATAAAATTGAACGAATCTAACGCACAGACGATCATAAAACAGCGACAGCAAATCAATTTTAGACGGCCTATATAAAGACGAGATGCCGCACGCGTCGCTGCCGCGCCAAACCGGAAGTGCAATTTGTAATTAGTGCAACAAAATTTGTAGCAATTAATTGCAATGCGCCTGCTCGCCGCTCGCCTCCGTCGCCTGCGGCTTGTGCGCCAGACCGCAAGACACGGAAACCTCATTTTTTTTTTGCGACTTTCCTAGCCAACGCAGAATTTATTGCATTTAATTTGCAGTTGTTTTTTTTTTGTTTTTGCAATTCGTTTTTAATTTGTATCATATTTTGATTTGTTGTTGTTTCTTGTAGTTGTTGTTTTTTATATGTACTTATATTCTTTCTTGGCAGCTCTCGCAGCGCATTAAGTGATTTGTGCTTAACAATAATTTTTGTTTTTTGTGTCAATTTTGTTTTCTGTTTTTTGATATTCGTAATTTGCGCCGAAATCAAACAGCTGCAAAATTTGTGATTTTGTGCCAGGCGTTGTCGCCTGTATAAAGTGTGGCTGAACCAGATATTTACCATATACTGTGCATACACACAGATCAACATAATATATATACACACACACACACACACACGAATATGCATATAACGTATGTACAATGGCCGTATAATAAACACATATATGATGATTTATGGCATTTCTACGGCTATATAAACAATTTGTTAAGACGCACACAATGAAATATTATTTTAAGTTAAGAAATCATTTTGACATGTTTTGGCTAGTACCAAGAGTGCCTTGTATAGGGTAATTATTCCGTAGTCTTAACCAACTTTTGTCTTGCACTCACCTCGGTTATTTTCATGGTACGCTTAACGGTCTTGCGGGTGACTTCGGTTGTCTCCTCAACAACATCGCCATCCTCATCGATGGTTTCGGTGACCATTTTCTCGCTCTCGCCGGGTATTATCTCCTCGGTGCGTTCCGTAACAACGCTGCTTTTGCTCTCCGCATCGGCAGCTGGCACCGAATCGGGACTGGCCTGCTCCTCGGAGGCAGCAACAATATCCTCATTGTCCGACATGTTTGCTAATTGTTTGTTAACTATATTAAAGGCTTTCACTTGTTAATGTGTGTTTGGTTGTTTTTTTCTGTTGTTGTTGTTGTTTTCAACGTCACTTTCACTTGGTTCGGCGTTTGCTCACTAAATTTTGAACTATAGCGACTATAGCGGCCCACCGACACGCACACTGGGGCAGCACAGACACACAATAGAGAATTTCTCAACTTGTTTCGCCTGAAAAAAAGCAACCCAAAATGAATATATATATATATGTATGAATATATATATTTTTCTTTTGCTGCTATATGCTTTTTGGCCGCTCTGGGTTATTATATAAACAATAGAAATTTTTTCACTGCTAACGTTGACTATCACGATCAGGATCACGATTACGTTTGCGATCACGTTAGAGATTACGTTTACTTGTATTTGGGAATCTTGAAACTGATTTCGATATTGAGAACTCAAGTGCTCCTTGAGATGATCACGGGCGCTGGCTGTGCTTGACACTGCGAGAGTGAGCGCTCAGCCAGCGACAACGAAAGGCGCGACAACAACGCGCAACCCACAACGAACAACGACAACGGAGAACGACAACGCACAACGAAAAACGAACAACGAACAACGAACAACGAACAACAAACAACGGATAAGGAAGCACACGACAATGCTGTATGCTGAGACAGAGGTGGTGACAACTACGACAAGCGGACGCACGACAAATTGCCAAATGAAACAAAGTGAATATTTTTGTACAATTAAAAACGCATAATTCGAGAACAAAATTCAGTTTGTTTCACTTGTGCAGCAATAAATTGAAAATAATCAGCGAGCAGCGCCCAGCGACAACGCACGAGGCAAATTACACGATTCTGAGGCTTCTGTCCCGATCGATGGCACTGCTCGCCGTCTGGCCTGCCACCGGAACCATCGCCGTCGCCGGAGAGCGACCAAAATACCAAATACAATACATACGACTAGTTGGACATGAACTGTCTATGTGTCTGCATCTATGTGTATATTAATATCAATGTGCGTGTGTTAGTGTGTTCTGTGTGCTTTCCCGGCGAGCGAGATGCCCAACTGTTTGGGATCACCAAAATAGTCTCAGCCAGGCCCAAGTGCGAGCGGGCCGGCCATAGTCAATGTCCGCTCTTTGGCATCTCTGACGTCTGATGCTGCTGCTGCTGCTGCTGCTGCTGCTCGCTCTGAATTTTGATTTGAATGTTGACGTTCAATTCAATATTTTGGGCGAGCAGCTGCTGCTAATTGTTCGACTGCTGCAAGTGCTGCTGAGTCCAAATCTGAGACGAAATTTGAAAGCTTCTGTATGCTCAACGGGCTGCAATTAGTGCTGCTGGCCAAAGCGTGAACCGTGACGCATGTCAAATCTGTAACTGGCCCTCTCTCCCACCCGCCCTAGCCCCACCGCTCCACGTGCGTCGTTTGCGCTATTTTGGTACGCACCCCGCGCCCGCTTCTAGACAATTCGGAGCATAAGAAAGGAGAGCAATTGCGAGAGAGCGACGACAGACAAATACCCTTGCACTCGGCCTTTGCTTGTGCGTATTTAGTTAACAAATTTTCCAAAAACTGAAATTCTATCAATATAAATGAAATTAATAATATTTAAATAACTACATATCATTAACTCAATTTAAAAATGTAATTATTATAGTAGTTAAAATAAATTAATATACCCTTTAGTTTCTTATAGGTTATTTTGTGGAAATTAGCAAATAGAAAAGGAAAATCCTTTAAAATATAAATAAAAAGTTTATTTTATACGCTTGATTATTTTCTCCATTTTTTTTTTTTTTATATACTTCTTTTAGAGATACAAGCTTTTAGACTCGATACTTAAGCTGTTATGCCCACAGTTAGGGTATTTAAAAGAGAAAATACATAATATAAACAGGCTGTTGGGGGATAGGGAGTGGGATTGGTACTGGGACTGGGCCATTGCTCGCGTCTGCCGATGCCTCGTCCCGCGCAATCCGGCGGGTCTCTGGCTGTCTGGCCGTTTGGCCCAGAGGCATTTGCTGTGCCCGGCGTTCGACAGGCGAACCGAATTGCATTTGGCATATGAGTGCATACAGGGTGTCCAATAGTCTGGCACAACTATCGGGTGCGATATATTTTTCATTCATGCTGCTGCCGTGCGAACTTCCTGTATAATCGACTGCAAGATATATGAAAGACAAGTGCTCCGTTGTGCAAACAAAGCGCCAAATAAACGCAAGACATGAAATATTCTAAAATTAATGCTCGACAAATGTCTTTTTGGCCGCGCAGCGCAACAAGATGCCCAAACAACACAAGACGAGACAAGTATCTGCACGCGCTTGTACGAAGAAACAGCTACAGATACAGATACAGCTGCTGGCCGTATGTCTGAAGATACATGGCTGATTATACTACTTGTCTATTATGACTCGAGCAGTTGTAATTGGGTCCGCATTGCGTGGAAGTTTATCAAAGCGGCAGCCTCTAAGCAAATTACAGAGCAACAGGCAAAGTATAATTTTTGTAGGATAATAAGCAGCTGCTTGACAAAAAGTCAGCGCTCAAATATGATTAACAAGTAATGCCTTTGTCAACAGTTCGCTGTGGGTTGTGGTATGACGCCAACGCCAGCGTCAGAGTTGAAAATTATATGGAAAATCTTTAATAATAAAATGCAAGCGTAAATAAATTAAAGGGAGGTCAGACAGCAAGGGGCAGGCGCACAAGGGGTAATAAAACAAAGCGAAGACAGTCGCAAAATAAAAATATATAAATGGAAGACAACATAAAGAATAACTCGCTCATGTGAAGGATGCAAGCGGAACTGAGTCGCCTCACCCCTTGGCCCTGGCTCATTCTCCGTAAATCTCACGCAGTTACACAGTTGTAAATTGCACAAAGTTATTGAAGTACTTTTTATTATAATACCAACAAGCTGGCGTTCCTTTCTCCGGCAAGTGTCGTTGACTTGCGCTGACCCAGGAGCACAGCCACGGGCCAAGATGATGAGATAAAGCACAGACACAGCCAGACAAACGGAAGGCGCCTTAATGCCTTACGAGTAGCTTCGTTAGAAGCATGTGTTCCCTTCACAAAGGCCATTTGCAATGAAATGAAAACTTTTGCCAATCGACGCTGTGATGCAAAACAGAGAAACGATTCATTTTTTGTCGACTTCGATTCTGTGAAGTTGCAATTTAAAGAAAAAATTGCACTGTTGAACTGATAACTAGACAAATCTCATCTATAGATGGGCAGCAAGTGTTCATACTCAATGTTTCCATAAAATTAATGCGAACCTGCCAAATTTTTAACGTATAATTATAATTTGATATATGAAGATCGCATAATAAAATTTTAAAGACGGAGCAGAGATTTGATTTGTGGCTTTGATCTTAAGTTTTCCACCTTTTTGGCTTAATTAATATCTGCATTAAAAGATCCATCCGAGCCGTATCATAATTTTCTAATTAAAATTTTTGAGGCAAATCGAGCATCAAATATATATTTGCCTTGGCGCCAGCTATGCTAATTATTTAATATATTTGCTAGGTTTCACTTGGATATTTAATTTAAAAATGTTTTCTTGACAGACAAATATAATAATTCGAAATTTGCGCTTGCTCTGACATTGCAGCTTGGTTTGAACTGTGCCCTGACACTAAGATCTATATAGAAATTTGTAATAACTGTTTTATATAAATATATTAAGCAAAAAGTAGTTTAAAAAAATATTAGTCAGCTAACAATAGAACAAAATTGACGCAACTTTATTGTAAGTGAATTGCCTGTTGACAAGGTAGATCGCACTTTTGGCTAGATATTTAATTGAAAAATGCTTTGCTGCAAATAAGTAGCAACTCTTCACCTCTATCGGAAGAAACACATTCAATTGCCAGATTAAAATCCTGCACAAATTGGAAGACAGTCGGTTGCCCGGTTTTTCTCTTAAGTGAAACGCAATGCTGTTAGCAGCAGATACCAATATCAATACGAATGCACACAAGCCGGGCGATATGTGTCCTGGCCATCGCCTGCACTGCCAGCTTGCAGTCTTTGGCTCTGTTTCTGAGCTTGAGCTGGTGCCTCGGTTCGATGTCTGTGTATCTTTATCTGTGCCTGGGGGCTATGCAGCTAGACGGGCAAATAGAAATGGAAATAAATAGTTGCTTAGCTCTTTTGTCTAATTAAAACGTTTCGTTTGGTTTTCTAGCAGTTGCCATTTCGAGTGTATGTTTGTGTATGTGTGTGTGTGTGTGTGTTCTAGCCAGTTCTATTTGTCGATGTCACACACACACACACACACACACACACAGACACGCACAGGATAAATGTGGCTACGTGCGTGGGCCCCAGGCAAGTCCTGGACAGAGTCCAGCTGGCTGTCAAACTGTTTCATCTTCATTTCGCTTGCCAGCTACCTTTCTACCATATGCCGGACCTTTGGTAAACCATTATGATGATTTATGGGCGGAAATTATTTTTTGGGCTGCCCATTGGTTGGTTTGCCGAGATGGGATAGGTCTATGAAAAACTTTCGTTGTCGGCCTTTTGCTGGCCGCCTAAAAGCATGCAACAGTTTACATTTTCAATTCCGCTTGCCACAAACTTTGTTCGCATTTTCCACGCTTGGCTGGCTCTTTTAATTTGAAAAGCGATTTTCTGTCATTCGATTGAAACGCCCGCAAGCCTACGCATTGCGATGGCCGCAGATTGATGAGTCTTATCTAATACTGGCGGACCTGAAAATGTGCCATTTCCTGTTTGGAACGGGTGTTTGACAATTTGGAAAAGTTTAATTTGATTACCTGCCATGGGTTTCGGCTTGAAGGCAAAGCAACAAGTGGCGGTCGTTGCCTGTTCATAATGCCATAAAACATGGTTTATAGCAAAAGCTTTGTTCAGCTTTGATGGCTTAGCAAAGCACACAGCATGCATACGGTTATGCCAAAGCTGGCCAACTGGAAGTGGCCAAACTTGAAAGCTTAGCGAGTGCAACAACAAACGCCTGCTGTTAATTCTTAGTCAGTAATAACAAACGGATTCTCGTTGAATTTGGGTAATTTACCCACTGCACTGAGTCAGCAGAATTAGGTTTAACCCGGCGTCGGCAATAAACCGGCTCTTGACCTCTGAATACGTAATGCCCCAATTGTCATTTAAAAAATCCGATACTTGGCGCGCTTATCAGTCCATGGAAGGCGGCCAAAAAGTCAAAGGTGCTTTTAAGTTCGCTGGCTGACTGCGTATCTACAACTTTTTCGTGAGCGCAAGCTGCGGCTGCCTCTCAGCAGAGACAGATGCAAGCTCTTCCAGTGCGTAGGCCAAGCCGAGCCAAGCCAAACAGAGCCCTATCCGCTGCCAGTTTGAATTTCGACGTGTTGCCAGCCACATCGTGAGCGCATCAAATGTAAATGCACAATAAATACAGCTAAATAACAGTTAACTTTATTCAAAAGTGCACAGCACGCAAGAGAGAAAGAGGAAGAGAGAGAGAGAGAGAGAGAGAGTCGGAGAGCTATAGAGATAGGGAGATAGAGACAGGGAGTGAGTGCGAGTGAGAGCATTATGTGTAGTGACAATCACAGCTAGCCCCACAGCGTCTTTTGATGCTCTTCTGCGGAATTGTTTTGATTGTGTGAGCGCGAAGCAACCAACAAAATTAACTGTGCGGTCTTTGATGTTGACTTTTTAGTGTGTTGTTAAGCATCTCGATGTTAAGTGAAAGTGATCCATACTAAAACAACAACAAAACAAAATATAACAAAAAAAAAATATACAAATAAATTGAACTGCATTTATTGACAAACGCGCATTATTTACATTACTTAACTTGCTTTGTTTTTTAGCTGTTAATTATATACTTAACATTTGTTTTTTCAACCCGAAGGTCAGCTGATATTGCTTTCATTTTTTTGTTAAACGTGCTTGATTTGCTCTCCAAGGAAATAATTTTAAAGCGGAATTCGCGGCAATTGTTATTGTTTATTTATGAATCAGAGCACAAAATGTGGTCACAGCATACAAATATATAAACTATGAGAAAACAAAATATATTGAAAACTTTTTTTGTTGCACATCTATATATATATAAAAAAACTCGAGTTCAAGTTAGCTAAAACTTGTTTGACACACACTCATAAATATAGATTTGTTTTTCCAGCGTATTTATAATTCATTTCATTCTGGCTCTCAGTTTGACAGCAACTCGCCGCATAACAAACTCCGTAAAAATGAGCGCCGTGGATGCCATCATCAACTATAAACGCAGTCCCAACGAGGACTTTTATGCTCTGCTCCATTGCGATGAGACCTCATCGGTAAGAGTCGAAATTTTAATTAAAAGCAATTATTAGCCAAGTTCTTAATGATCTGAGCAGCAAATCCGCACTCCCGTTAGCTGCCAACGTTAAACTTTGGCCAAAAATTTAATTATCAATTAATTGAGTTTAGTTCGAGAACTTTTGCGCCACACGCACACACACACACACACACACACACGCACACAATTGACAGGAGCCAGGGCGAGGATGAAACTGGCAGCCACAAAGGCAACGCTTTTTCGGGCGAACAGCTTAAGATAAATAAAGCGAGATAAAGATACAGCTACAGTTACAAACGAAATCAAATACAAGTTGACGTTTGCCGACTTGGCTTTGAACGCGTCGGGCTATTTACTTTGAGAATTAGTCTCAATTACGCGTCGTATACGCAATTCGAATCAGAATCGTGCCCGACTGAAAGACTAAACGCGGCAACTACTGCCAATTAAATACTCAAGTCTGTAGTGGAAATTGTCTGTGATTAGGCGAAAACTGTTGCCTTTTGTCAAGTGAAGAACAGTTTTGAGGCTGTCACTCTCAGCCCTTAAACTAACTCGTAACTTTTGGCTAAGCTTTTTGGCACAACAGTTGCCAACTGTTGTGTGCGTGTGTGTGACTTAAGCCTGACAATTATTTTATATTTTAACTCCATGCTGCATGCTGTGGCCGACTGTCAACAGAGTGACAAGAGTCCTGCCCTTGCCTTATTCAAATAACTTGTTGTTGTGGTCTTTGGTTTTGACTCTGCGTTGACACAGAAACACTTTTAGTAGCATATTGAAAGCCATGTGTTGTCTCTGCTGGCCAGATTAATGGCATGCTATGGCTATATGAATACCTTAATGCTTGGCATTCGCTTGGGGCTATCAAATTTTCTGCCTTAGAAATTTTCCAAAAACAGCATTTTTAGCATGATGCAAACATCCAACCTGGCTTGGTTGTAATCAAATTCATTGGCATGAAAAATGTTTTGACGATGCCGCAATTTTCTACCTGCAAACAATTTAATGTTGGCAATTTTTCAAGCTGTCGATTGCATCATCCTGAGCCATCATCTATTGAATTATGCACGAGCTCTCACCGAGCATCTCTCGTGATGAGGGTGACAAACGACGGGCGTAAATAGAAAAATGTCTGCCGGGAAATGGCTCTCATTTATATTAAAATTTGTAGGTTCTGCAACGAAAACCTAAATAATAAATACAATCAGATTCAATTTCAAAAGGTGCATATTAAAAATCGAAATGCCCAAAGACCTTATTAGTTTGTAGAACCGAATAAGTTAGTTACTTTGGGTTTGCTTACTATTACTATTCATTATTATTTATATTATTATCGTTTGTAACTTAACAAGCCTAGTGCCATAAGTACACCTACCTCTTAACTGCTTCGGCAACGACAATCCCTAGCTTGCCATTCTTATCCATTTTCTCGTGGTTTCCTGATCTGCCAAAAATATTTTCGATTTTATTAATTTAATAAAATGTAGACTGTGAGTTCTTCAGACGTTATTAAAACTTGTTTCTCGTTCTGTAGAAGAAATTAATTGCACAAAGCTGACTATTTATTAGCACTAATTTCGAATGTATCCGCTAACGCAAGTAAATAGAATCAACAAGGAAGAGTGCTTAAGCCGGGAGTGCTCGGTTAAAAGATCCAGCTCTTCTAGCTCCCTTCTTCATTAGCACACACGTCACAGCTCTTTTTTGCAACGGCTGTGCTTCTTCTTATATATATATATATATTATATACAATTTCGATGCCTTTTGTCCGATCTTGTTGAAATTTACAGCTCATTCGAATGTAGGTACGTACCAAAGCCCAAGAAAGTTCAAAGATTTCTAAAACAGTGAAATACTCTAGATATTTGCATAATCTGTGGCTAGCTATATGCAAAAATCTCAAAACCTACAAGATAATAATATGGATTAGGATTGCTTTCATGACGAGGTATCGCTGATTATACACAAAAAAGTAAACGTACCTCTAAAAAGTAAAAAAAAACTATTTTTAATGATATAGACTTGTCTAGAAACCGGTTAGAACTGCGTATGCTTAACTAGGCACTATGTTCAGTGTATCTTCTAGTCGGCAACGCCCGAGAAACCAATTTGTATTCGGCCTGATACTTTAAGCCCCGATTAAATTTCCAGTCGTTTGTCATAACATTTGCCTTTGTGGTATTCATCAGGTTAAACGGAGTAGATTACATGAAATATGTTATTCAAGTGCATTTCTTAAGATTCTTAACAAATCTAGAACTATCTATAATCTTCGAAGTGAGAAACATAAAAATATCCTTGCGACATACTGCCAATATAATAACAATAATAAAAAATATGACTTGTTGATAAAGAGAAAAATATGTGACCAACTCAGCCATGTGTACTGCCTCCGCAAATAAGACGAAAACTGTGCAAATAAAGCCATGTGAGGAAATGCAGAGGAACAGACAAATATGGCTATTGATTTATGAGGTCAAGATATCTCGGGCGATGCGACACACAATTTTTGGTATAACAAGTAAAGGTTCTCTAGATGAGAGTGCAGGAGATGCCCTGTAAAAGGTTTAACAAGCTTTAATTAAAAAAAAGAAAACATTTTATTTGATTTTAATGTTCTGCAATGTGCCATAAACAATGTGATAAAAATGCCATGTCGAATTTGCGTTTTCTCCGCTTTTCTTTAATAAAGATTCCATCTTTGTTCCCAGCTTCTCGCGGCATGTTATAGTTTGCAGGCCAATTTCAATTGGCCGGCTTTTTACAAATGAAATTGCAACAATTCAAACGCCTCGACATTATTGTTATGAGTGGATCAATTGTTGGCTCCGCAAATGAATTGAATTGCCCGTAGTTGAGCTCACAACCGTGTCATCTCATCTCTCCTACAGTTGAGCTGCCCATTGTGCCGAGAAACACTTATGCGATGTTCTTAAAAAAATTTGCATATGTCACGGCCGCATTTGAATGCACAGTTTTTTACATATGTGCATTTGGTTTTATCATGAAAAGCCGCTGAAAGTCTCCATAGAACTATTGGGCTGAGCTCTTGATGCTCATTTACATTTGCGCCCGACAACGTCCGGCATAATCAAATGGAAATTCGCTTTGGTTAATAACATGGCAATGCATACTAATTGATCAATTCAATATTAATTGGTTCACTTTAATTGCATTATGCAATTTGTACACTCCGTTGCAATAGAGCGCTTCTACAATTCAATCGAGTCTAGAGCAATGTTTCACTGCAACTGATGACATTTCCATTATTGAGTCTCGCGGGAGACGGTTTCGGGTGGGGCTCGCTGGCGCTCTTTTGTGCCACTGTGCGCATTGTTTTGATACAGTTTCGAAATTCGTAATGGACTGCCAAAAAATAACAAAATGTCAACATACTAAATGGCACATCTGTCGAGTGTGTGTGCGTGTGTAAACATTCGCTACCAGATTCTAATGGTTGTGGAAATGCCAAAACTCTCTAGGAGCACACACATACTGAGACAGACGAATCTGTCACGCACGTACCTAACCACATGTCTGTGTGTATGTGTGTGGGTGTGTGAGCTTGTGTCCTTGTCTGCTGCCTCAATAGTATTTGCTGTTGTGTGCTTTTGCAGTCTACCGTAGAAGTAATATTAATTGCGTCGAAATTAATTAGACGCCTCGTTGCCGTTAGCTGAACATAACAAATTCAACCTGCGCAAATAAATAATGAAAAATATTTATTAGGAAGAGGAGCTGCCAAATGCTCTCTCTCGCTCTCTCTATAAATATATATGAGATATCTATCGAACATATATTTAAAGAGCATGCCTGGTTGACTCTCTGACTCTCTGTTTGGACTGACTGACTGAATGTTCTATACATAAGTTATAGATATGTCATATATTTAATGAGCAGAGTCGGTGCTTAAAGCTGGCAATAGAAATGCAGAAATGCAAACTAATGCATAGTTGACTCTCTGACTGACTGACTGACCGACTGAGCTGCTGGCGTTGCAATTGTTTGTGTATGGCATCTGCATTCATTGTGCGCGTTTGTTATTGTGCACGAAAAGCTATTTGCACAAACAATTCAGAGAAACAAAAAAACAAGTGGCCTTTGTTTTGGAATTGCGAGTCCTGGCTGCGCTGGACCGATTTCGAAAGAATAATGCGCTTTTGTAGCTCGGGTTGCGATGACAACTGTCAAGTCCTGCCAGACGCCAAACTTGGTCAACAACAACGATGGGGTTGAATGTTGTTGCCTGACAGCAACTTGTTGCTGTCACTGCAAAGCACTTTGGCTTAATTAATAACAATTGTTCGCACAGTCTTGACGCTAATGTCAGTCGAGAGCGGAATCCGTTGTCAGCGTCAAAGGTCTGTCAGCCTTTCAGACAAGTTTCATTTTTATTTATTTCCATTTTTTTGCCACAATTTGCGTGGCGTTTCAAGCATTTGAGTATTTTTTATGCCCATGCTATTACAGTTAAGTGGTTTCCATTTTCACACGAAATTTTCCAGTTTACAATTTCCCAGCCTTGCCGCCCGACGGCAGCTTAAGGTGTGCTTGTGATTGTTGTTGAAGCTTATCGCTAACCGCTCATTGCTCTTGCTTCAATTCTAATGCCATATGCCAGCTGAAGCTTCATGTGCTCCTGACAGCTTTACCTGGCATGTGGTTACCGCCTCCCTGCCCGGCTTCGCTCCGACGCCCCCAGCTGGCTTGACTTCCTCATTTTGCCAAGGTGATGGGCGGCATATTTCTCTTCATCTGGGGAACAGCATGAAATCTGCATGTCACAACAATTTGATATTATGTAATACGTGTTTGTTTCGCCGCACAGTGGGCTGTTATCTGGAAACGCATTGCAAAAATCGAGTTGAGTTTGTAAACCAAAGAACATACATCGATAAAGGTAGTCCCAGAGTAACATGGCTTTGTTGCCTTGTCCTTATAGTAAGTCAGCTTTTGCAAACAGGGGTTTTTTTGTTGTTTTAATACAAATGTCAAGTTTGGCTGTGCAAAGAGGTTTTTGTTTTATACACGTTATAAGTTAAGATTTTAGTGAAGATATATACATTATATATATATGCATATATGCAACATATATATTTCGAAATTTTATTATGAAGGATTGGGTTTCCAATTTATTACTATTTAAAGTAATCAAATATTCTCGAAATAAATTGTTCACTAAGTTACCTTTTAAAAGCTGATCCTGTTGATCTATAAAAAAGACTTTAAAGTTGCATAAATTCTCTTTCTTGTTTTTTTTTGTAATATTCAATTTTCTTTTTTTGTTCAAATTTTATGATTTTAACAACGCATTTTGTAAGAATGGTTCACTGTGCTTTGGAGATATTTTCAAGATTGATGCCAGAACATGCTTACTTAATTTATGGAAAAATACGAATTTTTTATTGCACTTTAGTTAATTTGCGCCATTTTCTACCTTTCCCCAGCCGGAGCAAGTCCAGGCCGAGTACAAGGTTCTGGCGCTTCAATATCATCCCGACAAGAACTGCGGCGACAAGGAGGCGGAGGCTAAGTTCCAGCTACTAAAGGTAAGCAGCAACAATGAAAATTTTGCACAGCAACGAAAAGGCAAATGTTGAGCATTTTACATATTTAATAAAGCGCCGCCAGGTGGGTTCTCAAGTCGAGGACGAGGGCAGGCACCATACTTCTCCGCCCCGAGGGTAATTTGTTTAAGTTGAAAGCTTGGACTCGTGTTTGCATTTGGAGGGCTCGGGCTGCTCATATAAATTATAAAAAAAACACACAGTTGGCGTAATCAAAAACTACACACACACAAACACACACACAAACATACACAAACACGCATACACGCACACACGAGCAAGAGAAATGTGCGTGGTGCATGCAATATGGTTGCCTGTCAGTTGGCAAAACTTTTAAGTCACATGAAACAAAGCACTAGCAAGTACACACATACACACATGCATCCGCCCACACACAAGCCACACACACATAATTGAATAGCTAGCCAGAAACACACTCATTTACACTCAACCTCAAATTGAATTTTACACATAACAAAAAGCTTCAGAGATCGCGAGCACTTAACAAGTAGATAGCAAAATTACAAAAATATACCCTACACATGTATGTATAGAGCACATATTTTGAAAAGGACTATTGATTTTCCGCTGTGTTAGGGCACCAAAAGCTTAGCATCATAAACATACATTTACATATACCGATACATATATATCTATATATACATGCATATACATATATTATATATGCACATGTTAATATGTTAGCACGTGGCTATTGTTAGCCGACTTTGGCGAAGGGGAACCACATCAACTTTGCCAAACGGTTGCCGTTCGCTCGTCCTTGTTCTGTCGCTCCTCATTAGAGTCCTGCCAGCTACAGCGACAATAAAACTTGTGTTTGGGCAATAGGGATGGCAACAAGTGATGCGGAAGTCTTCTTCTATGCATTTTAGTTGTGGAACTGAGTCCAGAGCTTGAATTTGCCATAAAAAACAAGAACAAATAAAATTTACAGCTACTAAAGTTCTCTCCCTGTGTGTGAATGTGTGTGTGCGTGTGTGTGCGTGTGTGTGTGTGTGTGAATGTGTTTGCTGCCAGTTATGTCGGGAGACTTTTTTATGGTCGCTTTAACGTCTAAGCTATAAAACAAACGCTGAAGGCGGCTATAAAGCAATCCCAGTGAAATGTTGAGATTTCAATAAGCACGAACATAATTTAAAATTGCTCAAAAAACCTTAAGAAAAAAAAAACATTATTTGATTTTGTTTTGACTTCAGCCAAATTCAAGCAGTTTTTTACTGGAAATATGCAAATTGCTTCAGGCCCAAAGCTGCATAAATTAGCGAGCTCAATAAAATGTGCACTGATATTATATTATGCATTTAACCGATATATCTGCAATAGATAACATGATAATCTTATCAATCCTCCAAAGTACAAACAAAAGTATTACGTAAAATGTAAATTTCTATAATATTCTACTGGATTCTTACGTATGAATCTGTTTGCCTACGTGCATATTTAACTATTTATGCGCCTCCAACACTCGAACACTCGTGAGTGCCCGAATAAGATATATCTCTAGCCCAGAATCTATCTATTATTACAAGCATTCTATTTTCATTATATTCATACACAAAGACGCACACACACACACACACATAAGCAGGCACATAGCGCGCTGTGGCTGTGCTTTTGCTCGCGCATCTTCCTAGCTATGATTCTTGATTAACTTATTGTGATGATTTTTATGAAATTCTCAGGGCTTAAATATGGCATACCTAAATATTGGATGCTTATGCCAAAATCCAAAGTTATACCTTAATTATTATTATTCTCCAATGTGTGGAGAACGGTGAAAGGTATCCTTAATAATATCTATAATATCTATATCTTTAAGAAAAAGTCAAATTCGCGAGTTGCCTTCACTTTGGGCTTCTTGAACTTCAAGAAACGAATTTATTGTAAATCAGAAAAGATTGCTGTCATTTAGGGTGGGTATCAATTTTTAAGAAAGAGCTCCCACATATAACTTTTCATAAGTTAGAGATAAAAACCGGAAGTATGGAAACATTGGAGCAAAGACTTTAAAGTTAAAGTTAATTTAATCAAAAATTTGTATTTATTTTGTGGCAATTTTATATGCTTTAGAGAAATTTGTTTTCTGTTAATGTTAAGCAAGAATACATATACCCCATTGTTTCGGAGAAGCCTCCCACTGTCTGTTTTATGCACGTAGACCAACCTATTATGGCCTTTCTATCCATTTTCAATATGACTTCGACAAAAAATAGATATTTAAGTTTTATACACGAATTGAAAATCCGTGCACATGCAATTTATATTATTTTGTCTTGTCACAAAGAGATCTTTATTAAAGTGATTTTGTCAGCGGGTGACATTGTAATTTACGACAACATTTTCGCCTTTTTAGTTTGATGCAAAATCAAATTCCTGATTGGCAATAACAAACATGGCCAAAGGGCAAAATTAAGCTAGCGGATAATAGGAATATTCTGAAACGTTGCCTGCTGACCCACATAATCAATGAGTAGTAAAATAATTGATTATCGTGTAAGAATCGCAACAATGAAATCTCAGTAGCACAGACTGGATGTGTGTGTGTCTGTGTGCGTGTGTCTGTATGCTTGTCTGCGGCCTTTATGTGTCTAACAAATGTGCCAGCAGGCTGCTTTGGCATAAAAGTTGTAGATGTCTAATAATGTGTGTGTATTGGTATCATGACCAGATACGCTATCAAAGCCACTTGAGCGTGTAAACGTATTTGTTCACTTGAGTGTTTGTGTGTGTGTGTGTGTTAATCACAGTCATGCCAATAAGTATGCTATGTAAATTGATTATTATGCAAGCAAAAGGCAAAGGCTAAAATAGTAGCTGAAGCCAACAACTCAAGGTTTTACTGGTATTTGTTTTGGGCTTCGACAAATTTGACTTCAGTCGACCTACATAAATAAACATTCAAGAATTTTCGTTTGTATTTTGTTTGGTACTTTTCTGTTGCAGGAGGCCAAGGAGACCCTTTGCGATCCGGAGAAGCGCGCGGTGTACGACAAGTGGCGCAACAGCGGCATCTCAATGAGCTACAAACAGTGGCTCGGCATGAAGGAGCACGTCGGCCAGGTGAGAAGATACACAATTGCCGAGAAAGTGGATAAAGAGGTATGCGTATGAGCCAGGAATACAGCGAAACAGAGAAGTAGCCGCCAAACCCCAAAAGACTTTAGAAAACTGAGCAACTGTGTGATTTCGTGTGCCGTTTATGTAGATGCTTATACCCTGTATATATGGACTTGGGCAAAGTGGGTATATTACAGCTGTTGAAAGTGTATCCACAGCCAACTCGTTTCTGTCCGTGCCTGTTAGTTCTTTAAAGCGAGTTTATCGCCGAGACAATAATTGCAATCGAAATGATTTCTATCAAGTATTTTTAGCAAATTTTAAAGCAACAAGATTAATTTCACGATATTATTATGTATATTGAAGTGGAGTTAAGAAGTTGAGCTACTTTCTACAGTTTTGCAACAGGGTATTCTCTAAAGGGTTGACATACTACGTATTTGCTCTTCCAGCTATAAGACATCCATTTTAATTTGTTTGTGTACTACTTTTTTTTTTGGCTTAGCTATTGGCAGTTGTAAGCCGATATCCGATTGCATTTGCATTTGCATTGTTACAAATTTAATGTGATTAATCGTCGCAGTGAATCAACGCTCGAAGCTAATTTCCGTAGGATATTTTCGGTCATCCATCAATGTTGACAGCCTGTCTGGCTAATTTGTTGCGGTAAGTTTTTGGTCGGGCCATAAATTTGCCTTGGCAGTGGAGTGGGCCAACAATTTGCACTGGTTGCATTTCGGTTTTAGCGGTTGCAGGCAATTTGGGCACGTGCTGCCAATTTCATATTTCGTTTTGAGGCCACACGCACTTTTCTGGCCAGTGCGGTTAGGTTCTCATTTGGCAGCAACATTTTGACTAATGCGTTTGCTAATGGTAAACGGCACACAGGAAAACCAGTTCTCAGCCCTAATAAAACTGCAAATGTGTCTTTAATTTAACTTGCAACAAACTTTGATTTAAGCTCCCAGTCTAAAGCCTGATACTGGTCGCCCGAATTCCTACAGTATTTACGTATTTTATGGTATTTTTTGTATGTGCCTCTTCATCCAAAGTGTTCTTAGTGTACGCCGTGCATGCAAATGAGGAGCCAATGCATCTGAGTTTTCATTTCGTGCACAAATGCAAATCCAGCCTAATGTAAATACACGCACACATCAAATGCATTGGCTCTGAGAGTAGTTGCATTAGCCAGTTACAAAAGACAGTTCAATTAATGGCCTAATTGTTTTCCCACTCTATCAAAGTCCATGCATTGGGCCACACCTAAGACCAAGGACCGCATGCTACCGGAGACTGACGCTGGAGTTGCTCCGGCTGGCGCTGGTTGCAGCAGCGGCGGCCTTACAGCCGCCTCCCCGAATCCGGCCCATCGACGGGCCTCGGAGGGCGGAGCCGCACTCTACTACGGCAGCCGCAAGGCCGAGTGGGGTACTGAGAACACAGATGTGGCCAATAAGTTCCGTAATTACGAGATCTAAGCGGCATTTCAGCAATGCTAAAAGAGTGTGCGGTGCCCGTGATGAGTATCGATGTTATGAGATAAAATAGAAGCGAGTCGAAACGTAAATTTTATGCATATTTATAGCCCATCGAAGGGCAGTATATCTCGATGTGAGTTTCAAGAATACATATTCCAATTAATATATTAAAAATACCAAACAAAAGAAATACATTTAAAATACATATATATCAAAGCAGCATTGAAAATCTAAATTACACAATATGCAAAATATTAATCAATTCTATAAAAATATTACTACATATATATTTATAAAGGAAATACAACTCCACAGAGTACATATATATTGATGTGAACTTATAGCGTTGCGAATTATATAAATGTTTATAGGTGTATACAAAAAAATTGGTAATTAAGTATTGAAGAAACTGTAATTTCAATAAACATAAGGTATGCAAGCGGCAAGAGGTTTAATTTAAGTTAAAGTGCAACATTTAAATGAAATTAGTCAAATTTTAAATGTGTATATCAATGGTAAATGTCTAACTGAACTATATATACAAGCATATACTATATTATATATATTTATCTACAATATATTTATCTACAACTATTTATATATTGATGTATGTAACATGTGCCCCCTATAAGACAATCCCTTTGGAAGTGTTTACTTGTGCACTAGAAAAAAACATTGATTATTCAAGCTGAAACTAGCATCAAAATGCCCACCACAAAGAACGTTGCATATGCGATCAAAAAAAAAAAAAAAAAAAAAACAAACAAACACACATATGACCTACCACAAAAGCGAATTTATCAACTATATACACGAGTAAAACTGCATAGTCAAAAAAACTACAAGAAAAATAACTTTCACTTGGTGTCCTTTCAAATGCAAAACTCAAATTTGCAAACAAAACTAAGCAACTAGACTATTTTATTTATGAAGAAAAATGAGACGGCCACTTACAGGCTTGAAAAAAATGACAAAAAAATATATAAAAAAAATTAAAAATATAAACAAAAAAAAAATGATAAATGTCTTGATGCGTTGTTGTTTTCAATATCGATGTGTGATGCAAATCGTAAATGTTATACAAATGAATATCAAAAGAAATATGAGCGAAAATTAAATTATGCCAACATAAAGGTACATTATATAAATGTTTGTTTTAAGTCATATTGAATTTACTCAAATACACACATATTATTGAACTATACAAATACACATACATATTTATGAAAACATATATATATTAATTGAAATCAAAGCACTAGCAAAGTTTTGTCAGTTTTGTAACTGAAGCAGATTTTAAAACAGACACTTGCAGCTGCAAGCCAAAGGCAATTATTTTTGTTGGCCCACGTGGCGTATGGAAGGCGTAAGTCAAAGTAACTAACTAGCAATTATGCAAATACATATTAATGTTGAATTGAATGTAATTGAATTATGAATGTATAAGTGGCAAAAAAAAATAAAACCAAATAAAATCAGCTGAAGAATCTTCAGCGATTGAACAAAGTTTATTTTACTTATTCAGAACGTTGTCTAAGCAATAGCTAATTCACTCGATTTGGCTCTCATTTAGCTCTAAAAGTTGATTTAGCCTGACCTGCGAGTCATCCCACAAGTAACAGGGCCGGCGATCCGACTGCACGAACTCACGTATCCAGCGATTGAGCACTATATGAAAATAGGGTTTGCTTGTAATATTAATAGAGTTAGAACTGTTCACACGACTTGCAGCTTACCCCACTTGGAGCCGACAATAATGGGGCAGGCGCCGTGCATGGTCCGCACATCGCCTGCGCCCGAGGCGTGTAGGTTGTACCAAAATGCGGCTAAAATTAGCAAAAACAAAATATTACCAAGGGGAGTTCAGGGCTAGGGCTGTGCTAGAGATGGGTGCGTTACGTTACACGGCGTGACACGAGCACGAACCAGAAATAGTCTCTATAAAAACTTGTGGCAAGACTAGAATATACATAATCGTTAAGATACAACAAATTAAATAAATTTTAAATATTTTCTCATTGTTTGTTTGTGTCCGATTGCTATCTAAATTTGGTTTCGCTTGCCACTATAGCCTATACCAATAATAATTATCCCACTATTATTTACGCATTTAGAAAATTAGTTTTGCAACTATAACCCATAATAACCGATATTATTTACAAATTTACTTAAATAGTCTTCTCTCTATGCTTTTTGCATCGTGTTGGAGTTGTTGAGTTAGTTCGTCCTACGTATAACAATGGGACAACCCACGCGTGCCGTAACAGAACCCATTACACAAGCCATAGTTTGAGTCCGTGTTGCACGTACCCGCATATTTCTTGGGCTTCAGTAATTGCTTTAGGACGGGAAATGCGGTGCCACCACCCTGTTCCACATCGGTGAGCTGTATGGTAACATAATAAATGTATTTGCGTGGGTTGACTTGGCACAGAACACAAAAGGACTCACATAGAACAAGACGGTGGCAATGCGATTGCCCATTTCTGAGTTGGCAACCTGTTTGGTTTCGAACTGTCAAACGTATTATTAGATGGATTTAACTATTGACGCCAGACTCCATTGTTTACTTACGGCATTCGGGGAGAACCAGTCCATATGCTGGGCGTAGTGACCGCCTATGCCGTAGTTGGCCAACTGATGATCCTCCGCAAAAACTACAATTGAAGATTATTCATCTGATATGGCGATTCCTGCTTGAGTTGAATCTTACCCATGTTTAAATCCGTCATGTCTGCCACCCGTTGATCGATGGTGCGTAATACTTTGTGCCGCGTCTTCGGGATGAAGGTGAATTGGCTGGTGCGTGCGTTGGACACCACGGATGCGTTATTGCCAGTTACCGTGGCACGATGAATTTTATTTTTAGTTAGCTTAGCTAGTGTATCAATTTCACTCTGATAGATGACGTCATGGTAGAGCACAAGCAGCGGATCGTGACTCAGCTCCTCGACCTTCAGCGGAGCCAGCAGCAAAAAGGGATGCGTCTCAGTCATATAACCACAGCGCAACTGACGGAGTTCCGCCGGCGTGGGTTTTATATGACCATTGCAGGTGTAGCGATACAAGTCGAACTCGCTTAACTCCGTTAGATTCTCGGGCAAAGGCTGCGTGGCACAGGGAAACGCTTGGTAAATTAGTCGGCGGTATGTATTATACTTACGGGATGCTCCTCGACTGGGTTCAGCTCATCAGATGGTGGCTGAAAGTCTTTATAGTTATTTATATACCTCTCGCTGCCTGGCTCCAGTTCCTTAAGGCTCTGCAGGGTACCATTGACGCCAGCAATATGAGTTAGCCTGGCTTTGACTTGCCCAAGTTGCGCCAAAATGAGGGGCTGCAGCCTGGCTTGATCGCTGTTTGACAGACGACTGTTCGCCTCCAGCAGCCAGGCGTGTGCCAGCTGCAGATGCTCATCCCGCAGTGCCTGCTGGGCTATGTCTAGACAGTGCTGGGCGTTTAGCTGAGTACTTTAACGAACAAAACGTGAGATAAGTGATGAAAGCTCTTCTTTTTTTTTTTTAAATTTTAACGATTTGGCTCACCCATAAGGCACGCCATCGAGTATGCCAGCAGCCACATGGCTGGTCTGTAACCTGTAAATGGATTGTAGGCGCAGCAAACCATCGATGGCGCCCTCCAGTTCCTGGGCGTTCGGCATGTGCTCTTGCTGGCGCAAGCGCTGCAGGCGTACCAGTGGCTCTGTAAGTGGAGTGCACACGGAGCGTATACTTAATTACATTTGAGCATAAATGGATTTGGCACTCACTTTTGCCGGTTGCGGCTGCCATGAGATTCGCAATGTGTTGCCAGTCCCGCGTCAGGCGTTTGCTCAGCAAATATTTGTTCAACGGACTCTTAAAATATGCCACCCCCCATTGTTGCGCCTCGTTGCGCTCGCGCTCGAATTCGTCCAGTCGCCTGTCATTGCAGATTGGGTTGCATACAATTTGATTAGTGCCAAACCAGCTTCAGCTTACGCTCTCAGAAAATCCAATTTGCTTTCATTATCAGCTATGAATTTTTGCATGTGCTGCAACATTTGCTGCTCATAGCCAAACACCCTGGACATCGCATGTATAGACGAGTAGAACTCGGCAGAGGCACCATACCAAACCAAGAATGGCAGCACAGCCAGCAGCGCTCCGAGCTTACCTTGTGCGGCCAAGAATAACATTTTAGCCGTGTTTCTGCTCTCGGCCGCGACTCGCGGTCAACTAAGTTTGCGCCAATTGACCCCGCCTGTTCTTGGCTCGATCGATGACTTATGCATGGTCATGGTTTCCATATCTTACATAATTTCTAAGAGCCACAGCGTTAGTTTCAGCCGCTTTTAACTAATTAAGCAAAACCTGTTTGTGCTTATGTTAAACGTAAAGAAAGCTCTGGGTTCATTGTGCCTCCTAACTGGTTTTAAATCTAATTTCTAGGCGGCTTCTTATGCTAGATACTTGTTGATTTTTTAATGGATCTTATCACATAAATAAAGATACGCATCCTTTCGTCCTTTCTTAATTGTTATGTGTATTACAAATTAGAAATTCCATTTATACTCTATACCCATTAGAGTGGATACAAAAATAATAAATAGAGTTTTGCACATGTATTCAAAACAGCCGAGCTCATGTCTAGGAGTTAATCCCATATGTAGATCAAGTGTTTAAATTATCGATCTGTTTCCACTGGGGGATTAAAGGAGCTATTAAAACACTAAAGTAATTTAAGGCTGGGTGAAGAAGAAGCAGATCCGCTCTCGACAACTCTGTCACCGTGTGTGTTGTCCCAATTAGAGAACTCTTAGTGGTGTCTTGCGTCTCATGCAGAAAATTTTAGGTGTTACTCAACTTAATTGACCTAATTGCTCTTAAGGTGTTCTTCCAGGGAATGAAATCGAAATAATGACAGGCAGCTGTGTAAATGTTTGCTAACATTTCCAGAGAAGTTAAGTAGCTGCCTCTATTTTCAACAATTGAAAGTCAGACAGTAACAATTGGAAAGTAGTGAGGTTAACATGTTTCGAGTGAGTGCGGTTCTGTTGACATTCGGGTTGGGATGTTTGAGTTGGGGCAGCACTTGTGCCAGCTACGCTGAATCCGAGGACGGAGTGCAAAGTTTGCTCGATGTGGAGGAAATTTTAGTAAAACAATTTGAGTTATATCTGGACAAAGCGGAGAAGGAGCGAGACAGTATTATGAGGTGGGTACGAAAATAACTTTTAAGTAGAAAACCTAGTTTCATGCCAAATATGACACTTAGATTTTTGGACCATGTGAATCACTTGCATAAGGATATGGACGAACCAGAGGAGTACTTTGGTAATCCAATCAATGCCTTCACCACCATCAGCCGCTTCGCAAACAACTGGAAACACGAGATCTTCGACGTAGTGCTGGCCCACGAAAGCTATACGGAATTCAAACAACGATTGACCAACGAGCTGGATAGGCACGAACTAGAGGAGCCAACAAGTGAGGATCTCGTAGGCGCCACACGTGATCTATTGGATATGCAGGAGAGCGAGGGCCGAGCTACATCGGAGCTGGCAAATGAAGTCATCTTCGCAGATGAAGATCGAGGCGAGAATGTGACTCTTAGCGCCAGCGATTGCTACGTCATCGGACGCCATCTCTGTCAGGAGCAACAATACGACTATGCCACCGAGTGGCTGCTGCAGGCGCGGCAGCATGCCTCGCACGATGCGTCAACATTTCCCAATATCACCCAGGCGCAGATTCTGGAACACTTGGCCCCGGCACTCCAGGAGCTGGGCAACAACAAACTGGCAAACAAGCTAAACAATGAAATTCTGAAGTCTGAGCCCACTCATGAGGCAGCTCTCAAAAATAAAATTGTGCTACAGAAGAAACTGGCGCTTGAGCGGATCCATATCGCAAACCTGAAAGTAGACTTATAGATGATTGAAGAGCAACAATTAATGGAAATAAGTTGCAGTAATAAGTCTTTTCTGTGACAGTCTATATGATTTTAAAAGATTTTTGCCTCTTCATATAATGTACATAAACAAGAAATGAAATGAAATTCATAATAATGTGAATGCTAATGCTTAAATGTATAGATATAATATACCATACGACAAGATAACTCGCACTCAGGTCTTTATTGCTTTAACATTTATGCTTATCTCCATATGCAAAACTGGTTTTCATCAATTACTGACTGACTGACTGATTGGTGATCAATGCACAGTCCAAACTGTAAGAGGTATGAAGCTGAATTTTTTATTGGCCTTACCTCGCCAAGCCGATATTTTGGGAAATTTCAAACGGCGGGAAATGCATGAAGAAATGGTCCCTTAAATTTAAAGCAAAATACTTGAACAGGGCAAGTCTGGCAAAAATGCAATATGTAAACATTGAACAGAATTGCAAGGTAACCCAGTTCCAGATTTCTTAGTTACAGCTACTAACTGTACTGTATTTACCAAAGAGTAACATAATAAAGTTAATTATCGAAATGTCAATACATTTCAAGGGCACTTATGCACATGCATTTATACTTTGATGTGATAAATGGACGTTGACGAAGTGGAAGCTCAAAGGACAATAACTCGACTGATTGTACAAATGAAGAGCCAGCTCAAAGCAATGCAATTTACAATGTTTCCTGCGAAATCCAATGAAGCTGACTTGAATCATTTTCACTGCCAGCAACTGAGTTTGTTAAGGCCGTTGGCCAAACTGATATGAAATATTCCTGCAGCGTTCTTGGCATAAGTTAGCAATGTTTTCAAAACAGCTTCACGTTACAAGGACAAATTATGATTTGTGTAGCGTGTAATTTCTTGTTATTTGATAGTTTGCATTAACATATGAGTCAAGCATCACAATAATAAAATCAAAATTTGCTTACCTGTCGAAAATCTGAGAGCCTACCATAATTAAAAGCTAAAAGCTTAAAGCAAAAATTGGATTGTATTTGTGCAAATGAATAGCAAATTTAACTCTTAGCCATCGAAAAATATTAAATGTAGTTTTTTTAAATTTAAGCTATATTAAAAGTATTAAAAAATGTTACATATTTAAATTTTGTAATTAATTGTATGCCTCTACTCAAAGATGTATAAAAATATTAAAAATAAAAGCAACTGCTATCCCGACTTCCAGATACTCATACCGAGCGGTACAACAAACATTCTAGCTTCTTATATAAATCACTAGCGAATATTTGCCGTTAGTCTTGTTGGTTGAAAATTTAAGGCCAATAAAAAACATTCGTTCATTTAACCTGTGACCCGTGTTTTTAATCCAAGAGAGGTGGATTTGACGAAAAGTTTGAAACACATAAAATATGAGTTTTCAGAAAGAACTTTCAACATAGCTACCATTCAATCAACTCCGCCAATTTAACACAGTTGCGGGTAGAATTTTCGAAATTGCTTAAACACATATTCATGAAGTTCTTATGAAGGGATTTGAATGTTAGTTGAAGGCCAATCGAACGAAACTTTAGAGTAACCTTCAAAAATTCAAAATTCAATAGCATTTTCCACTGACGACTCCTGGTTTTCTAATGGATTCAAGGTATAACAAAACTATGCAAGTAAGCATGGCTCAGGAACTAACTTTAGAATTGCAGTTTAAGATGTTGCCACAAGTGAAAATACCCAGCGGGGCGTAAGCAGCTTTTGTGGCATTAAATAACAGCTGCAGAATATCAGAAGACTTGGCACAACAAATGACTTGGGGTGTTGGGGCCTTACCGGGACTTGACAAGGAAAGAAGCTAATAAGTAAATTGTGAAAACAAGATTATGGCTGAATATGGAATTAGTCGCATACCCCTTTAGCTTTTTTATGAAAGTTTAGGGGGAAATTGTGCAGCTGAATTCATTTGAGTTTTCAACTACACGTATAAATATTTTATTCTGCAATAAACAACAGAAGAGAGAATAACTTATCTTTGAAGCGATTGCTTGCAGGGCTTAGTAAGAAACAAGAATAAAAAATATTAAAATAAATAAAATGAAAGAAGACAGTTCATAAGACAGGTTACCTGCCTTCACCTCTCTCATAAGCGGGCAAACATTCAAAGTTTCAGTTTAGACACAGCAGCCAAGCAGCCTGGTCGTCAATTGGCAGACAGTAGTTTTCGCAAAAGAATAATAAATATTTAAGAGCTAGCCGTGAACTTGAGCCACAAGCAAAATCCAAAGAGAATAAAGAACTCGCCAGGCATTGACCCGGACTAGAATAAAAACAATATTATAAAGAGAGAAAAAACAACAAAAACCACGCAATTATGCAAATGCCGGCAGCAGTCCGATTGCTGTGGCTACTTTGGCTAGCTTTAATGTGGCCAAGAGCAGCTGCGAGTGGCAGCAGTGAGGAGCACTTGCGTGAGCTGCTGACCACAGAAACCTTGCTCATCGATGCGCTGCGAGACTATATAGATGCTCTGGATAAACAGTTGGTGGTTATCAAGAGCGAAACTGCGGCTATAGAGCAGATACATCAGCTGGTGGGCAACCGGGTGGAGCAGCATATGGGCAATCCACTAAATGTGCTCACCATACTGAAGCGTTTCCAGAGCGTGTGGCCTCTGCTCGAGCAGCAAGCGAATGCCACGCATAATCTGGCCAACAATTTGCCAGATTATGAGTTGGACTTGCCGCTGCCCAGCGAGGAGGACTACGAGACGGCACTGCTAAATCTGCTGCGCCTGCAATCAGTCTATGACCTGAAGCCGGCCACTCTCTCCCTGGGCATGGTACATGGCTTAAAGCTGGGGTAAGTGTTCAAAAACAAATGCAAAACACAATTTAAAATTCGTTTCGATTTTCACAGCTCGGCCATGACCTGGAGCGACTGTCTCGAAATGGCGCGTAATTCGGATCGAAATGGCGACTACGCCGTGGCCAAGTACTGGCTGGAGACGGCCCTGGGAAAACTGCCAGCTGAGAACAATGCGACAAACTCGGTCGGTGAGCAGGAGCGCGGCAAAGTCCAAATACTGGAGGCATCTCTCAATATGGATTATCGCGCAGGTCTGTTCCATTGAAACTCATCAAACTTTACGTATTTGCACGAACTTCCCAACAAGAACAGGTGAATTTTTCAACGCACTCACAACGGCCAAAGAGCTGCTGCTACTGCGGCCCGCCAGCCAAAATGTGAAAAAGGCGAAGGCCAAGATTGAACGAGCCATAAATGGAAGTCCAGCGAAATTTCAGCCAAACAGCAAGTCCAGGGCAAAGGTAAAATCAACAATGCAAATATTATGCAACATCCAATGAATAATCCGAATTAAAATCCATATAATTATACACGGGTTGAGCGTAGTCGACTTACAAATGCCCTAAATTTAGCTTGATATATATCATGGCTGCAAATTCTAAAAATCTTATAGTATAATCCCAAAGTTTAACGAAACTAAACAACACCATCCAAACGTGAGCCCTTAATTTTGCAAAAGTGTTTGGTTTAAGATAAACCTTTGAGGGAGTGTCTGCCCAAAGGCTTTATTAAACAATTGTTTTGTCAATTTTGAATAGAATTATTAATTTATCCCATCAGTCATATATGAAAATATGTACCACATGCAATATTTTCAGTAGAACGGGAAAGTTTAATTAAATTGTTCTTATTTGAACGTAAACCTATTTTTTTCATTGGTTTGCAGCCGTGATCTATATTAAAACATAAATTCCAAGTGTATTATTTGACTTTTGACGTTCCGCTTTACCTACTATAATAGGCAGATCAGAAGAAGAATTTTCTGCAGTTTACTATGATCTTGCTTTAAATTTTCAATTATTTCTTTTAAGATACTTGCTCAAAACCTAATAAAGATCTTTCTTACGTCCATTTCAAGCTCACAAAATCCGTTGAGCAGCTGATTGTTGACGAGCTCTGTCGTTCGGCCACACAACAGCCCATAACAGGCAGCCGCTTGACAGAGTGTCGCCAAGATATATCAAATCTGCGCATGCTACGCCTGGAGCAACTTAGTGAGGATCCTCTGATCATGCTGTATCATGATGTGCTCAGCTCACAGCAGACTGACCAGCTCATTAGTATGCTGGATGATGTGCCGCGACTGCAAGAGTCAAAGAGAGCTGCCTTTGAGCCGCTTAAATTCACTAATCTGGCGCAGAAAAGGATGCGTGGCATTCATAATCAACTGGGCATGGCCGGTGCTGAGCCAGAGCTGTGGCAGGCACGTCGTCATAGTCACGAGCACGTGACGCAACCGGAGGAGCCAGCAAGCACATCGGGGCATGTGGCACGTGCGCTGCTCAATGTGCGTCATTTTAATTAAATGATTACTTAATATATCACTAATTGGTCCATTATCATCTTGCACCCACCCATCAGCTTCAAGAGGCCAGGTTGGGCGGCGCCATTGTCTTTCCACAGTTGGAGCTCAGCGTGTGTGTCCCACGGGGCTCTCTGCTCTACTGGAACGTACGCAGCGTAAGCGAGTTTTCAGCTACGTCCAGGTCGGATTACCGTAGTCGCCAGCTTGTCTGTCCGGTGCTCCTGGGCGCGCAATTATGTAAGTAGAGCACATGTGCCTCCTATATGAACTCTACAAATCCCATTGCACTTTGCAGCGGCTTGGACGGAACTCAGCTGAAGCCTGTCAGGCGGTCCTTCAGAGGTTGAAAATATGACTGCATGATTTGCCTTATAATCTTTCGGTAATTGTCACAAACGAAAATAAATGCTGAAATGTTAAAATTTTATTGAATTACATTTGCACTTTCATCTGACATTAAATGGCCATTTCATTGGCGTCGCCTTTTGACTAATTAGAGAGCAAACAAACAACATTTAAATATTTATGCATCACAGCATGCCATAATTAACATTCGAGCTGAGTTCTGTTCGGCTTTTGGCCAAATGCCTTTGGCCAGTGGGCAGCAGGAAATAGTTAAAGTCAATATTAAAAGTCCAAGCAAACATGTTAAGTTGAATTTTGAGCATGGCATACATCTGTGTAAATCAAATGTCAGTTAACACAAACAAACGCACTTTTATTAAATGTACTTTCTCGTTATTTATATTGTGAAGAAAATGGCTCAGCAAGATACCCTGTACTTTTAATAAATTACATACATACATACTTATATTTAGATAGCATATAATTCGATTCACAAGCAAATTTTGCTTTAAATTGAATTTATAAAAAAATTAAGTAAAATCAATTTGTTGTGCCTAAATCGAATCATATAATTATTTTGAATTTAAAAATAATAGTAATTAGCATAACAAAGCAATTTCTAAGAATAACTTAGCACAATAAATTTTGCAAACAAATACAGGGCATAATTGTGTTTTTTTGTCGTCAGAGCGGCGCTTTCCAACACTAGCACGTTAATAGCAACAGCAACGACTGCATTATTAAATATCAGACAACGCGTTCTTAATTAGCCAGAATTAATAAGCCATCGAATAAGGCGACAATATGCCGCGACAGTGGCGAGTAGAGAGAACTAGAACTCGGGGCAGGTCCACGCCGAAAACGAGCTAATGATAAGCATCACTAAATCAGCTTTGGCAAAGCCATAAAACATGCTTAATCGCGACGAAACTCGTATGCTCTTCATTAGAGTGGCTCATAATGCCGATATCTATTTTTCATAGCCATAGACATAGACTTCGACTTAGACATAGGCACACATCAATTGGTTATGCAAATACTGTAGCATGTAGTTAGCACCTGGTCGTGGCTATCCGAACTCCTAATCGCGTGTGCCAAAATGTCTGTCATCACTGGTTTTATTCACAGATCTCTAATGGGGATGTTCGGTCCGAGCTGCGGCACCGGCATCAGTTTATTGTGAGACGCGACGCACTGCAGACGCCTGAAATAGTTTTAGCTGCTATATCCATATATAGTATATACCATATAGTTAGAAGTTAAGATGCGGGTTAATATGGGACTGCTGGCACTTTTGGTGCTGGCCAGCCTGATCTGTGGCCAGGCTACGGATTACTTCTCATCCATAACTGGACTGGAGCAGTTGCTGCACACGGAGCACACTTTGATGAAGGATTTAAGTTCACAGCTGAGTGCGACCAGAAATGCATTGAAACAGTTGGAAAGGTGACAATATATAATGTCAACAGTTTAAATGGCGTAGTTTTAGTATATGCATCGAATAAACGTCATAAATAAATAATTTATGCACGCTCATAAAATTAATTTTTATTTGGTATATTTTACAAATGAGGCTGTTTTAATATTGAAAGTTGTACACCTGAATGCTATCTAAATGTCATCTTTAAATGTCATTTTCAATTGGTCTTTTATTATACAATAATAATGAATTTGCATATGCTATTGTAGACTTTAATACATCCACGTAGAATTTTCCGCTTAAGCAACTATTTTCAAGTTTTTACAGTTTCACGTTTAGCATTTTGCTTCTTTTTTTTTTATTTGTTATTTTTGCTTTCGTTTGCATTTTATGGGTTTGATCGTAAAAAAAAAGTTTTGTGTTTAGAATCACGTAGAATCGCAAATAAATTAGAATTAATTAAGTCCAGCTGTCTTGGCGGTGGGCTTCTTATGTCTATGACGACAAAGCCCACAAAGCGTCCAAACTGGTAGCTATCGATTTATGATTAGAGTTATAAACTCGTCTAAGCCAAAATCCGCAACCTGATCCACAGAGAGCTGTCGTCTATAAAGGTGGAACATGCACTGGCTGCTAGAGGCTTGGAGAACTATCTGACCAATCCGGTCAATATTTATCGTCTGATGAAGCGTCTTCACACGGACTGGCAACAAATGGAGAATCGGGTCCAGCAAATGAGCGCACAACTACGTAGGTATTCAACATTATTTTCAGTGTAATCATAATCATATCAAAGAAAACTTGTATTCAATATTTTAGGTTTCAACATTACACAACACTATGGCCTTAACTTTCCCAGTCAGGAGGATGTGGAAGGCGCCGCTCTGGCCTTAGTTCGCCTGCAGAGCACCTATAAATTGGATGTGGCTCAAGTGGCCGCTGGCATACTGAATGGCATCAAATACGGGTGAGCGGCTGAGGGATGTAACCCAAATAAGCAATAACCAGTCAAGCTTAAAATGCATGAGTACTACATAAACATAATGCTCATACTATTCAACACTGGTCAGGAGCGGATTTGTGCTGTTGAGGGTGAAGCGCCCTGGGGCAAAATATTCAATATAATAGATATTTAATCATGCGAACTTGTGCATAATACCAGTCTCTTCTTTGAACTATACGGGTATTGTTTTCTACAGATTATAATCGAGCTCCCTCCCACATTTCCAAATCCGCCCCTGCATAGGTTGTGTGTAGTTGTGTGGTGTTGTTTGTCGTGTGTTGTGTGTCGTGTGTCGTTACCTAAGCACCAATCATATTCATTTCGATTTTCGTGTTGCCCTTATTTTTAGCACGGACATGAGCTGGCAGGATTGCTTTGTGTTGGGTCAACAACTCTTTGAAATGGAGGACTACAACAACACGAAAGTATGGTTGCGCGAATCCATGGAGCGACTGCGACGCCATCAGCCGCAGCCCAGCGCCCCAGAGCCTGCCCTGCTAAACAACATGGAAATGGTGGCGCAGAGTTTATTCCGTATGGGTGAGCAGCCCGCTAAGCCATCGGCCAACTTTATGCATATTTACCAAGCGATTTTTAGGCGACTTTGACACGGCATACGAACTGAGTCAGCGTGTGCTCGAGCTGGATCCATCGCGCATACGGAATTGGCATCTAGGTGACAAGGCCGCCAAGCTGACGCATGGCGAGAGTGAGGATGTGGCACAGCCAAGGCAACCAGATGCTTACAGGGTGAGTCCTGCCACACCAATTATCTATGTTTGTGACTAATTTTGGACTCTGGCCCGCAGCTTACCGAGGAGTTCGCCCACTATGAGAAGGTGTGCCGCGGCGAGGTTGGCGCCTCTGCTGCCCAGCAGCGGCCTTTGCGCTGTCGCTATACACGCGGTGAACATGCCTATCGGCTGCTTGCACCGCTCAAGCTGGAGGAGCACAGCCTAGACCCACTGGTGGTAACCTTTCACGACATGCTGAGCCAGCATAGAATCGCCGAGCTACGCGAAATGGCTGTGCCGCACATGCAGCGCTCTACAGTTAATCCTCTGCCCGGTGGCCAACGGCGAAAGTCCGCGTTCCGAGTGAGCAAAAATGCGTGGCTGCCTTACAGCACGCACCCAACGATGGGGCGCATGTTGCGTGATGTGAGCGATGCCACCGGCCTGGATATGACCTTCTGTGAGCAGCTGCAGGTGGCCAATTATGGCGTCGGTGGTCACTACGAGCCCCACTGGGACTTCTTCCGCGATTCGCGGCACTATCCGGCCGCAGAGGGCAACCGCATTGCCACGGCCATATTTTATGTGAGTTAAACCACACTGAGTCCGCCTCATGTGCAAAAATTAACTTTCGTGCTATGCTGCAGCTCTCGGATGTGGAGCAGGGTGGCGCCACAGCCTTCCCCTTTTTAAATTTCGCCGTGCGTCCGCAGCTAGGCAACATTTTGTTTTGGTACAATTTGCATCGCTCCTCGGACATGGACTTTCGGACCAAGCACGCGGGCTGTCCCGTGCTAAAGGGCAGCAAGTGGAGTAAGTATTTTGCCAAAACTAACAACAAGTTTCTCATATCACAATTTGCATCAATATTGACCTTTTGAAAATTTATAATTACTTGCTTCAATTATAATCCATAATCATAATCAGCTCAGCTTATTAAAAATTTAGCACATTTTGTTTGATACAAATTGTATTGGCAAATTTCTGTTTGGAGATTAGATATTCAAATGTTATTTAATTGGTTTCTCGTGGCACATTTGTTCAGAATTATTTATATTTATATATTTTTGACAAGAGAGATGTAAAAATGTGGTTGTCGGTTTCAGCCGACTGTCCAACACTCTATTCAAAGCTTCACAGCAACAGGTGGAAAGCAGGCTTTATGATATTAGATATCTTTGGACATTAGTGTCTTTAAAACTGTAATTTGAAGTCAGTGGCTCTCAAACGGTTAGACTCAATTCTTAGGGCAGATTTTCAGGGGAAAATTCCTACAAACAGGTACAGAACTATTATGCTCGTTTCCACTTTGTGAACAGAGTATTTAATATAAAGGAGGTGAATATAATAGTATTTATTATATATAGGGAGCGCAACAAAATGGTTGGGAGTTGGGAAGTGCATTTACAGAAAGAGTCTTTTGTGTATTCAATAAATCCCAAAATATGTTTAAAATACGTTTTTTTTTAAATATGCATCCTTACAGTCGCCAACATTTGGATACATGAGGCTACACAGACGTTTGCTCGACCCTGTGATGTATTTCGGGACAATGGAGTTTCCCTAGGCTATGACATTATTAAATAAACTAATTGCGGATTTATAAACTATTATGTTTTATTTTAACTTTTATAAGCAATAAGTTACAGCTCGCAAAAATACTGGAATAGTTAAAATGAAGATAATATTATTTAAAATAAAAATCCCATCACTTGAATAAAATCACAAACTGCTGGCTAGGTGTTTCTAGGGTTAACCAACCCAAAAAAAAATAAAACTCAATTTTGAGTGTTTTTGCCTCAAAACAAAGCGTGAGTTAAAAATTGAATTGAGCTCGGATTTGCCGGCAATTTGCATAAACAAGTTCACGGGCAAAGTCTCAGCAGCTCATTTGCATGTTAGCGGCAAAGAACGAGAAAATGACAACTCTCTGAGTTAGCAGCCAAGTGAAAGTAATTAGCGAAGAGAAAATATGTGACAATATTAAAAATTATACGAACAGTGGACTAGGCAGCCCGAAAGATGATCTCTCAGAGTGTTAGGCGCTTAATTAAATAGCTTGGAGCCTATGTAGAGTGATTGCTGGCAACTCTTTGGGTTTATTGAACTCGAGCACTCTTCTATTACCTGTTGGCCGGCTCCATTCAAGCCTGACGGTGGGGCCTCGAGGGCAGTTCTTTGACCACAGCTACAAATGCCGGCCAAAAAGACCAACAGCTGCGGCTAAAGCTTAGCACCGCCAACGCTGCGAGCTTTTGCTAGACTGAAGATCCGCGGAGACGGTTTGTTAATTTGTCAGCAGATCGAGCCCGAGCAGTTCTTTACGAAGCGCCGCAAAGACAGCACGAACTCTAAGACTCACGAATATTCGAAGTTTTAATTTTGAAATTTTCTCCAATAGGACCGATTGTAATGAAGCTTTTGGCAGCTTTTGGAATTTTTTTATTTGGACTACAAGTCCTGGCATCCAATGCCGAATTTTTTAGCTCGACCAGCGGCCTGGAACAGCTGCTACGCACGGAGGTCATGCTAATGATAGAGCTCCAGAAATATGTCAACGAAATAAGGCAACATGCGGACATATTACAGGGGTAAGTGTTTGCATATATCCCCAAGAAAATGACATTAGACTGATTTGACTTTATTTGAGTCGTCTTTTTATGGTCCTATCAGTCCTATTAGCCAGGCCAGCTAATGGCATATTAAGTAGTGGGCTGTGCAGTGATCCAGAGTTCTATGACCAGCTAGAATCTGGTTTTAACTGTTGATTTTATTTGCATTTCAATTTGATTTAGATGATTTATGCTGATTTCATTCTGCGTACAACATGATTTAAGTTCCGAGACTAAAATTTCTTCTGCAAAGCGACCAGCCTTCAAGTTCTCGCTTGCAATAGACATTTGCTACTTGCTTGGCTTTATGAATACTTAAAATTAATAAATAAATAATCAAATGTTGTATGCCCACGTGCCGCATTGAAGAGACAGCCCACACGAATTGTGTGTTTAATATTTATATTTTTGCCGATCAAAACAAACTGTTGGGCATTTGTGAACGGCCTGTTTTCTGTTGAATGTCGAACATCAGCGGCAACTGAAAGTAACTTTTGTTCGCCGAGCTTTGGGTATCTTTTTGCTAAGCAGTCGCCTTTGGCAATTTTAATTTTTTATTTCTTCTTGTTTATTTAATTACACTTCATTTGCGCATTCCCACTCAACCGGTTCACATTAAGGCGTCTGAATTGCGTTCTGGTCTAAGGGTAAAAGTACACAGATGCACGGATGTACATACTAAATATATTTTTATTTTAATATATATACTATATTTATTCCTTGACTGCTTTTTGTCATCTGCTGTTTTATATACATTTGTTAATATTTTTAAAGCTGCACGCATTCTATGCGCTTTATTCAATTTATAAACTGCTAATATCTCTCTCTCTCTAGCCGCTTACCTTATTTACACTTGGTCGACATTTCGGCACTTGTTTGATGTTTTGAATTTATTATCTATTTATTATCTATTGCCATCGATTGCTACCTCAGCAAGGCACAGTCGCTGCGGTTTTTTATATAGATAATTGTTTATTCTATTGCTTGGCCATAAGTGTCAGCGACTTGTCAGTCTTTTGTATGTGTATTAAATTTATGCCCAATATCTTCAGAATTCACTTTTATTCTGTTGTTTGTTCGTTGTATTTGCAAACCGGCTCCATAATGCAAAAATTAGTACATAGGATGAACCGTTAAGCAATTTTTAACTAATAAAGTATAACATAGTCTAATATATATATTAAATTTGATACGCCATTGAAATGAAATTTCATTTGTATTATCTCAAGCGCAATAATTAAACAGGTTCAAGTTCCGTTTACATCATGATATAGCTTTGCAATTTGTATAACATATTTTATAATAGAGAAATGTTTTGGAAACAAAAAGCATTTGTTATTTATGGCTCTGGGGTGCCAAGAACAAACGAGTGCTACTACTACTACTGCCTAATGAATAGCCCGATAAAATGCGGATACCATCTAGCTGACAGCAGATGCTGCGACATTGCCGTTTAAAGTTATGGTGACATTTAATTCCCGATTAATGAGCGCCAACCAAAAAAATAAAGGGGGTTGGAAAGGAAGAAGTGTGCAAAAACACAAGCGTTTAAACAAATTCAGTATTTATTGAAAGCGGGCGACGCGAAAAACTAAATTTTATTTTATTTCTACAACAGGCATTATCACTTTATAACAATAGATGCAACAAATCCCATTGAACAAAGTATATTGCATTCTGATCAAGATAGTTAGCTTGGCTGTTTTGATGGTAAATATCTGGTAACAAAGAGAAATTTTGGCAATCCAACATTCTCTTGTGAAAGGTGGGATGAGTTCTAGTGATAAATCAAACGGGTTGTCGGATTTTTCCATTTTGGTAATAAAAAATAGAAAGCACTTAAAAGCGTTTTATTTCATTTTAAAAGAACGTACATACCCGTGAGCCGCTTTAATTTATATTCTTATTTTTACATAGATACGTCTGTAAATACTTGTGTACTCACTCAAAAAGTCACAGACACACGCATTGACATCTATCAGTGGAAGGGCGACAGACTGTTTTGTGTGCACAACACAAAAGAACAAAAGAAGTAGAGATATTGGATATTGTAAGAAAAGGAGGAACAGCGAGGGAGGGAAAGACAGAGAGAAATATTACACAAGGGAATTAATTTAAGTGAGTGTGAGCAGAATAAAGTTAATTAGATTGCCAACGCAACTTGTGAATATAATACTCACAATCAAAGCATGAATTCATGAGAATCGCATAGAAGGGCAATGTTATATAATGCGTTTTAATTAGTAGCGCACTTGATACTAGACACTAAGAGAACTCACATACACGCAATCATAAATAAGAATAATAAACATTTTTTCGAAGAGCTTTCAACTCAATTTTAAATTGTACGCAACGTCAACTTTAGCGCATACCACTTTGGACCCATAGTTTTCCCAAATGGATTGAACTTTGCAACAAGTACGAGAAATGTTACAGCTTGAAAGCCAGTGCCTTCTGGTTTACAGTTTGAAAGTCATTGTTTCGGCCGTTTTAGCACGGTCAATTAGAGTATTGCGCAATCTGTTGTAGCCTGCTAAAATGTGTATTGTTTTTAGTTGTTTTTCAAAGTTTTAATTAATTGAAAAGTGTCACTGTATTAAAGTGCTTATAAATTGGCTGTCATGCACAACCGCCACACTTAAATGTCTACGAGCACAACAAATGCGTTTAATATGCAAATTTGCGATTATGCAAATTTGAAAAAATATGAAACAATTTAAGGTCTGATTAATGCTTAGCACACAGGCTATGCGAAGCCCAAAAGGCATTTCATGAATTTCATTATTCCCATTTGTGTTGCAGCGAAATTGATGCGATTAAATCGGAGCATCTGAGCGCCGCGAATAGCGTTGAGGGATATCTGAACAATCCGGTGAATGCGTTCCGGTTGATAAAGCGCCTGCACAGCGATTGGGAGACCTTTGAGAGCACCGTGGAGCGTGAGCCGAGTCGCACAAGTTGGTATCAGATTTGGGCATCAATCATGTGTCCCTGTAAAGATGCTATCATTATCTGACTAGCCCGCTTTCTATTTGTCGTTGTGCCCCTGCTGCTCCTTCTGCTTTAACCGTGCCGGCACATACAATAGACTTCCTGGGAGCGATGGCGAGCCACAGAGAAAACTTGAGCTTCCCCACACAGGAGGACTTTGTGGGCACGGCACTGGCGATGACGCGACTGCAACAAACCTACCAGCTGGACGTGGGCGAGCTAGCGAGTGGCATACTGAATGGCATCAAATACGGGTGAGTGACGCCAGCCATGGATGTGGCAAGTGGCAATCACAAATCACACTCGACAGCTCGTTACAGTGCGGCGATGTCGTGGCAGGACTGCTTTGTGCTGGGCCAGCATCTGTTTTCAATGCGGGACTTTAACAATACGGTGCCCTGGCTGCAGCAATCGATGCAGCTGCTGGTAAAGCAGAGCTACAGCAAGGAGTCCGAAGCATTGGATTTCATGGAAACGGTCATGGGCTACCACGAGTCGATGGGCGACTACGACAATGCACTACATCTGATCAATCATGTGCTGGCCGTGCAGCCGGAGGAGCGTCTTCATCTGCTTGAGACACGCGCCCATCTCGAGCAGCTCATTTCGGACGGCGTCAAGCGCGGCCTAATGCATGAGGTGGCGCGCAGTCCGGATGACTACCACATCAGCCGCGAGTATCGTCTCTATCAACAGGTCTGCCGAGAGGAGTTAAGGCCAGCGCCTGCAGCGCTACGTGAGTTACGCTGCCGGCTCTTTGCTGGAAACGGACGGAAGTCCACGTATGCCCCCTACAAGTTGGAAGAACTGCATCTGGATCCCTATATCATACAGGTGCACGACGTCATCAGCGCTAGGGACACTGCGGAGTTGCAGCATTTGGCTCGACCAGAGCTACAGCGTTCACAAGTTTATAGCCGCACTGGGCACGAGCATATCTCTGCCAATTTTCGCACCAGCCAAGGCACCACCTTTGAGTATACCGATCATCCAATCATGCAAAAGATGAGCCATCACGTGGCTGAGATATCCGGCCTGGATATGCGCTCTGCGGAGCCGCTCCAAATTGCCAACTACGGCATTGGCGGTCACTATGAGCCGCACATGGACAGCTTTCCCGATTCCTATGACTACAGCCTGAACATGTACAAAACCAACCGCCTGGCCACGGGCATCTACTATGTAAGTGCTCCCACGTGTTATCTTCTGTTAACTATCAAATATATCTCTTGCCTTCTTAGTTATCTAATGTAGAAGCGGGTGGAGGTACCGCCTTTCCCTTTCTGCCGCTTCTTGTAACACCAGAACGGGGTAGCCTACTCTTCTGGTACAATCTACATCCGTCCGGCGATGCGGACTATCGCACAAAGCATGCTGCCTGTCCGGTGCTGCAGGGCAGCAAATGGAGTAAGTTGAAGCTAATGTGCAAAGTCTCTTAAGTGTTAATCAAGAATCATCTCTGTTTATCCAGTTGCCAATGTGTGGATACGTTTAAGCAATCAAGACCACGTAAGACCCTGTGAACTGCAACGTGATCACGAGATCTCCCTACCCTATAAGGACTACAAGTAACAATAATTCATTTAAAATTCAATTTAGTTTGCTTGCCATTTGTTATAAGTACCAATCAGATTATTGACTTGACTAAATTAAACTTAATCACTTCATTTTTAATCGCAAAAACTGAAAATGTTAAAATGAATGTTGCTGAAGCTTTACACATGCAAGCTTTTAGTCACATCTTATGTGTCATCATAAAGCACATTAATTCATATTTGATAATATGAGATTATTCTATATATATCTTAACAGTTGCAAAGCACATTTAAGCAAATTTAATATAATATTATTGCATAAGCTGCTAAAGCATATTAAACCTTTTAGTCAAATCTATTGTGTGTTAAAATAAATTTTATAAAAATAATTAAGCTCTGATCTTTTGACTGGATATGTGGAATAGAAAAAGATTTTGAGAAGCTTTTAAAACACATTAAAGCTTTAGCCAGGTAAATAAATGGCAAAAATAAATTAAATAGTATTTATTTATTTCTGAAAATATGAATTCTGTATTTTAATCTGGCCTTTTATGTGCCTTTCATTCATTATTATATCTTTTATCAGCCATCTTACTCGTTTGCATTAAGCGTGCATGGACGACGGAACTCCTGGCGGGTGGAATGAATCCAAATGTTGCCAACTGTAAAATATATTACGATATTTACAAGTTCGGAGGCTTTAAGGCCTGCTTTAACTTACTGCGCTTGACGCCCTCAATGACGGGACAGCCAGCATGTAAGGTGCGGCTATCTTTATTCAGAGATCGGTGTAGATTATACCAGCTAACCATGGCGCCTTTCACGGGTTTCAGAAATACATTTAACTTGGGAAAGACCGTATAGCCGCCATTCAGCACATCCGAGAGCTGAAAAATAACTGAATTAAATCGTGTTTACAGTTGACACCCGCTAAAACTCACATAGAACATGTTCGTTGCGATGCGATTGCCTCTTGGTATGTAGCTGTCGGGTATTTTGGACAAGTAATCCGTATGCGGCGCATATTGGCCGCCAATGCCATAATTGGCCACCTGCATTTGTTCGGCATTCTCCATATCGAAACCAGAAATGGCGCCAACTAAATTGCTCACGGAACGCAGGATCGGGCTGCTGTAGTTGAGCCACACCTGTTGGCTGACACGCCAATCCGTCACAATACTGCTGCTCACCGAGGAGCGAAAACTGTCGAATTGATCAACTACTTCATAGATGTCATCTATCTGGTCATCGTTGATCAGGTCATAGTAGATGTGTATGTCCGGATTCAGACGGACCTGCTCCACTTTTAGTGGCGCCAGCCTGAAGCGCGCATGACGAGTGAAATCTAAATAACAATTTAGTGCACTTCCATTTGGCTTCGGTTCCGACAGTCGTTTGCCCTGGCAGAGTTGCGTGTAGTTGTCAAACCAGTAAGCTGGCTCATGCTCTTTGGGACACTTGGGCATGCTCTGCTGCAAGTATTTGAGTGTATATTGTGCTGGATGTGGCGGATGTCTCGAATACCAGGTGAGCATCTCTTTTAAGGTTTCCACACCCTCCTCCCGTTCACCCAACTCGATGTGGGTCAAGACCAAATACTCGTAGATCTCTGTAGCCATTTGCTGCACATTTTCGCCGTCGATTTCCTGGAGTAAATTGACCGCTTGCAGAAACCACTGCTGGGCGCTGCTATACTCCGCCAGTTCGTATAACTGCACCCCAATCTCAAAGCAGTCGTGCCAGAGAAGCACGCTGTCTGTGTGGACGCCATTGAGGATGCCATCGGCCAGATCACTGGCTGTTAGATTGTAGACACGCTGCAGGCGCAGCAGACCTTTGACTGCGCCCTGCAGCTCTTCTTCGTTTGGTATGCCCACTGCTGCAGAAATTGCATCCACTGTCGCGCGATAAGCTGCATTTAATAAAGTTAGGAAACATATGTATATTTGGATATTTTGCACCGAAAACGTTACGCACTTTCTTTGGGCTGATTCGTCATTAGCATTTTGTATAGCTGTGGCCAGTCTTCGACCAAACGCTTGGTCAGCCTGAAGGCCTGCAGCGGCTGTTCCAAGTATGCCTCATCCTGATCCAGCTCTTGCCTGGCAAAAGCATGCTCCCGACTGACACGCTCCACAAAGCTATAAATCACAATAAGAATCTAAAGTTTCCGCAAACGGTTTTAATAAAATGTTGGTACCCGGACAACATATTGAGCTGTTGCAGCCGCTCCGCCAAATAGACATACGTGGCAGCGACCAGCTTTTGCTCCACTTGCCCCAAGGCGTTCATGCTGTCAATCGAAGAGTAAAATTCGGCATGGACGAGGATGTCGATGATACCAGAAAAAAACAGACACACAACAATGCAACAGTGCTGAGGCAACATTATGGCTTGTGGCTAACACACGACCTGGCCAAAGAACTATTGGCTAATGAACGCATTTCAATAGAAGTAGCTAAGCGTTTGTTGATTGTTTGCCTTTCTTTCGACCCAAATATGCTCAAAACTTCCAGCTCGAGCTGTCACGTATCCACAACAGCGAACAGTTGTGGCTGGGCAAACAACTATTAGACAGTTCCATTCTCTATTTAAACAGCATGCACGAAATGTTTAATTTTTTAATCGAATGGCTGATGCCGTGCAGCTTCTCTCAATTTATGCGGAATGTATTCAATCAGAGGCAACCATTCATTGCCCCTGGCGATGGCCACACGGCTGCACTTTGCTGCCGCGTAAATTAAATTGGCTCTTCAAAGTATGCTTCGTGCAACGCGCAACGTGCAACATGCTGCAAACTCGTTTACCAACCCAGAGCCGATTTATGCATGCACACGCTAGCGCAACCGCACACCCACACAAGCACACACACACACTTACTTGAGAACATCAACATGCATAATAAGTAGAACAGACTCGGCTACACACTCTAGTCGGAAATGCCCGACTTGGAGATACCCAGCCAGAACTAAGAAAACATGCCAGCTTCCTTCCATAAATACACTCGCACACACAAACACACACCCATCAACAGAAAGCCGGTTTCGATTCTTATGGATGATTTAAAATATCAATCTTTTCGTCCACAATTCCACAATAATCTCTGCGATTGACAGACAGACTAAGATTGAGCATATGTGCACTTAACAGGGAAGGAGATGCCTCCTTCTGCGAGCTACAAATATTTTCACAAGCCCATTATCCCCACTTTACCCACGGCTAATGATAAACAATTTAAGCAGCTTAGCAAAGTGACATAAGGCAAACAACAAGTTATAATACTAGAGGAAGCCCTCCACAAGCTAGCCACTTTGGTACCCAAACAGTGTTGAGAAATTCTAAGGATTAGATTGCATAGCGCTCACTCGAAGGAGCTCTTTCAACAGAAATTATAATTAGCTCGTATTACTTCAAAATGAACTCGAATATGTTAATACTGTTAAATATATAAACTTTTTTGCTTAAAGAATTATATAGAAAGAACAGAAGAACACGTTTATATTTAAACTTTACTTACTTTAAGTACTTTGAATTGATTATCTCAAAAATGGATCAAAAAAATTCTGAGATATTTTGCGGATATATCTTGTTCGCAAATGAAATACCAATTAATTTATTCGTGTTCTCTTTGATCGCATCATTTGTTCGTTTTAATTGCAATTATTTACTAGATTTTTTTTTTTTTTGATATTTTTGTACAAAAGTTAATAAATTCAATAATAGCATGTCTAAAATAAAACTAATGCCAAGTCATGGTATGTAGTTGAGAATAAATGATTTTTGTCAGCAGCCGGACCCTCATTTTTGGGTTGAGTATTTACAATAGGAAAAGCATATGAGTATTCCGGCCGGCAAGTTCTTAAAGATATGTTTGAATGCAAAGTAAGTAGAAGTGGGTAGTAAGCACATTGGTCAGCTGGTAAATGAGATTCCGGCTTCAGCTTAAGCTCTCTCCTCGAACATTGCACTAAATGGCAAAATCACCATGATCAGCAGTCAGGTCACAGGGTCTTCTGAACTCCTGGCCGCGCTCGTGTATCCACTTGTTGGACACTGCAAAGAGTTGGGCATTTAGTTGGCTCATGGATGGGCAAATACTTTCTAAAACCTACCCCATTTGCTGCCTGTGAGCACAGGACACGCTGCATGTCGCGTGCGCACATCTCCCTCGCCGGAGCGATGCAGATTCATCCAAAAAGCAGCCGTCCCCTAGAAATAAAATCAAAATCAAATATATCGATTCATTCAGACATGATTTTCTAGATATGTATACCTTTTTGGGCCACAGAGCCGCATGCAGCGAGGTAAAGACTGTGGCGCCGCCCTGCTCCACGTCGCTCATCTGGAAAAAGCAAGAATAAAGAGAATGAAAAGGAGCTCAATTTCCCATAATAAGTTTCAAACTTACATAGAACAACATGGTGGCAATGCGATTTCCAAGATTGAGACCCTCAAAGGCGCGTTTCTCCTCGCGCTGTAAAACAAGAGTAAAACAAACTTTATTCACATTTTCCACAAAGTAAATAGATAAAAACTTACCCGCGCGAAATCAAAGTGCGGCTCGTAATGGCCGCCAATGCCATAGTTAACCACTTGCAGCTCCTCGGCGGAGTCCATGTCCAGGCCCGTCATGTCCGCGGTGCGCTGCACCACTGTGCCAATGACACGATGCTCGGCGGTCTTGAGCCAGGCGGATTTGCTGATGCGATAGTTGGCCGTTTCCAGGGCGCCCGTCACCGAGTTTTGAACGGTGGCGCGTCGAAAACGTGGACGGGCCATGCGCTTGATTATCTCAATCTCGCTGTCGTACATGGCATCGTGATAAATAACAATGTAAGGATCCATGTAGGCCTCCTCCAGCTTGAGCGGGGCCAGCCTTAAAAAGGCCACATTGTTGTTGACATAGCGGCAGCGCAGCGGACGCAGCTCTGAGGGCGAAGGCTTTAGCTCACCGCGACAGAGCATTTCGTAGGCCTTGCGTTCGGTCATGTCAAAGACGCCGGGGTCGCTCTTGGCCACAGGCTAGGCACGAGTAGAGGATAATTAAAGACCACTAGGATAGAAGGATTGAAGTGTTATTGCACCTACCAGATCGGAAACGGGCATTTCATCGGTGCCATCGTCACCCTTCATTTTCTGCAGCTCCTTCAGGTGGGCAATTTCCTTCTCATAGAACTTCTTGTTGCCATTGGCCCGTTCGTGGTTGGGCAGCAATTGCAGCAGCTCGTTTGTCATGGTCAGTGCGCTTTCAACATTGCCTACGCTTGCCCATATTCCAATTGCAATTTCAATTCCCATTCCAGTTCCGGTTTTGAGGTGAGGGTAAGAGAGAAAGAGAGAAGACTGAATTAATGAATGCCCAAAAGTAAGCTACAGTTGTTCCTGGCCAGCTCTGACTTTTAACTGCCCTCAAAACCCAACTCAGCTCAAATGTAATCAAAAGTTCTTGGTTATGAGCGTACAGTGTACACTCGTAAATTGGAAACAGGGATACATATGTCTTTCATTTTGTGTTTATGTTTGTGCGCGACGCCCAAAAGTATGCAATGCTCTTAAGATCTACAATTCTCAGGCTTTTCAGAATGAAATTAATAATACATTAGGCGATAGCTCAGCTCTCTTGAATGCCTGGTAAATGCATAATAAATTATTTATGACTGCCGCACAACGTCCAGGCACAACGGCACAACGTATGATAAAATGGCCAACAAATAAGTAGAAGTTTTTTTTTTTTATTTGCTGCGAGAGGAAAAGCAAACTTTTCAGAGCGCTTGCAACTTGTGTTGTTGTTCTTTTTGGTTTTCTAATAAAAACTTTCAGCATTCAGCATTATTCACATTTATTTGTGTCCTAGCCTCGCCCTGGCAGTTTATCAATGGCAAGTCCCTTGGCTTTTTGCACCAATTAGATTGCCAAGCACTTTAAGAGTGGACCTTAATTTCATTGAATATTTGGTTCACCTTCGCCCGCCCCACCTGACTCTGCGAATTTAAATTTGCATTTTGCATGCCAATGCCTGCGATCCTGACACATATGCCCTCGAGGAAGGCCGAAGGCAACGGATTTTTTGTGTCAGCATGTCTGTTGGATGCCTGTAAATGTGGGCAATAGCGGGGGCGTGGCCGGGCAGCTTTTTTTTTACACTTCTTCACAATATGGCAGCAGTTTCGTTTACTGCAGCCTGTTCGTAAATACTGTGGTGTCGCATTTTTACGCGGCGCACAGGCAAAACAGAGACGAACAAACAAAAAACGTAAAGTGTGTACGACTTACGACTGTAAGATACTCTGTTTTCAGAGGTTAAAAAAAATAAAATATATACCGGGAAGGTTACAATATGTCTTATATATTTAAAAAAAATCGGAATATTTGGTTTTAAAATTGCTAACTTGCTGTGCCAACAAAATTGGCGTGTCAAATTTAATTTAGTTTTAAAGATCTATATCTATATCTTTTTTTTTAAGCTCGAGACTTAAGCTTTACAGTTGGAAGCGCTTAGTTGGCACAACTAAGCCGAATTTCGGTTGCATACATATTAAGAATTTGTAATAAATCAAATTTGTTTATTTTCGCGCTATACCCGTTCACGCTTTAAGGACAGGGTATATAGCAAAGGGAGGCCACACGGTCATAAGGACAGATAGCGTGTGTGATATAGATACAGACACAGACACAGACACAGATATAGATACAAGCACAGATACAGATAGATGTGCTGCGTAAACTTTCTTGCCGTGACAATTTATTGCAAATGGGCACGGGAAGGTAGTTTAAAGCTAAGCCTTAAGGGCTACAGCATGTGCCATATCCTTGGATAACTGTTGGGGCAATAAGGCATTAATAAACCGCACTCCGACTTGCGCAAATACGTGCACTTGCTGGCTTGTACTAGAGCTACGTGATTCTAAGTATATCCGAAGGCTGCACGGCCACGGCTTGGCACTAAGCCAGCGACAATATTGGCATTGCTTCTACAGACAGTCAACAATTTTTCGCACTTAACGAGCCCGACGCTAAATCGCCAGAGGAGTCCAGCTCATCTTGGCTCACCTGGCCAGGCGCCAGCAAAGTGCAATTTCCTGCAGCCAAATGGTCAAGTGACAAGCAACAGCAGAAGACAGCAAGCAGCCCGGGCAGCCCGAGCGGAAAAGGGGCTCTCAAAAGTGCCATGCAAACGAGTCGGAGCACAATACAAGAATCACAGTAAACAACCACACAAATGACTGATGGCAACAGCAACCAAAATGGCCACAAGCAGGCAGCTGGGCACGTAGCCTTCAGGGTACTCACCCTGTTTGTACGTGGAGAAGGCGAGGTATTCGAGAACATCGGCACGCGTAAAGCTTTGCGTCTGATTGTGTGGCTCCTCCAGCATACGGGACATGGCCTCGTTCATCCAGAGCACCGTATGGTAGTAGTCGCGGTTCACGTACGACTGTCGCCCCAGCTCGAAGCAGTCATCCGAGGACATTGCCGTGCTGCGTAGAAGTATTTGCTTAGTTAATATCCAGCCTAGTAGCTGCTGTGCTATTTCCATGCACTTACCTGTACTGTATGCCGTTCAGCTTGCCCCGTGCCACACTGGACGTATCCAGCTGATAGGTGTCCTGCAGTCGGAGCAGCGCCACTGCCGCGCCATTGAGGTCCTCATCCGAGGGAAACTTCAACACGTTGCGATATTGCGTGAGATTCTGCACAAAATCTTTGGATTGCACAAAATGTTAACAGTTCAACTGCGACTATAAAGTTGATTTCAACTCAATTTGAGAGCAGACGTCATCTTACCTGTGCCCACATCGTGGCCCATGAGATTCTCCACCTGCCGCCAGTCTGTGGTCAGTCGTTTGGTCAGCAGATACGCATTGATGGGATTCGATACGTAGGCGGTTATATCGCTAGCAGCATCCGCATGCTCTCTTTGGTATTCATCCATTTTGCTAAAGTAAAGAGTTAAAAGTTAAAAGTTGCGTAAGCAATTTACTGAATAATTTGATTACATTCACGTAAACTAATAACTAAATTACGAGTGCATCTGAGTTTCGTACGAAAGTTTAGCCAAACTAAAATTCAGCTCAAGAGCAAATAAATAAACACTTTGGCGAACCGCTTAAATTCCGGTGAATCCATTAGGGAGTGTTCAGCTTGGCAAAATATTCTGTTTTTCTTATAATTAATCAAATTATAGCTGGTAAATAAATTACAGCATGTTAATGACTAAAATGGATAACTAATCGTATTTAAGCTTCAGAACTAACTAAGTTGTTCTACGAATAAAGCATACAAATTAGAATACCAGAAGTATTATCCGGCTTTGTTTGGTCCCACTTTTTTGTCTTTCTATTTTAGAAATCAATTCCCATTTTGCGCACGTCGCATTTTTGACCTGAACAATATCCAACTCTACGTCTAAAGTTATGCAACAAGAATCAACTTGTGCATCCATTTAATCTATGAAGCTTGAGGCGGAAAACCTTTTACGGTTGCACTACGATCCACTCGCATTTTCCATCCAGGATGATAAAACACGTATGAAAAATGTTCACAAGATGGTGAGCGAAACAGTTTCATGCAGCCCTTTTTCAAAAATACCAATTTTCGAGAAAACGCAAATTTTCCAATTAGAAAATATGACGAAATGGCATTCCAGAAATAAAATTCCTCAATTATCTACTGTTATGTAAGCGAGATTGTTTTTCTTCAATTTTCCCAATTTTCAAAATATTAAAAACAAGATTAACTTATAATATAGAGTTTAGAAATATATCCCATCCAATTGGAATCTTAGTGGAATTGATGTACGAACTTAATTCTTGGAGAAACACATATAAAGAATAAATTTATAGTGAGCGAATAGAGAGATGGAGAGAGAAAAGAAAGAGTGGGAGAGTAAGAACCATTACAAGATATAGAAAGAAATAGATAAGAGAGAGAGAGAGAGAGAGACAAGATGCGTAAACATTATTAGATGTATCTAAGAGAGAGGGAGAATTAGCTAACATTCGATTTTATAATAATCCACCCTTATAGAAGAAAACAACCTACGATGAGAAAGACCTAATAATATAGTCTTAAGGTCTAACATCATTTAAAGAAATATGTTTTTAAGTTTGTGCGTTTGTTGTTAACTTTATTTGATGCAATGTGCCAAGCTTAGAATAAATAATTGAAAATATAATTTACTTTCTCTCACAACAATTGTAGATGCCTTAGATATAATTACAACCCATGTTTGCATAGGTTAGCCCTATGATTCGATATATACAGTCTTGAAAACAAAATTCGCTGCTGGAATTTCGCGCGCGTTTTTAATTATGAATATTTTTTTTGGTCGCCTAGCCGTTACGGATGCCGCTCGCTAAAAGGAAAACTGTAACTGAAACTAAAACTAAAACAAACTATGAGCTAGATTAAGACTAAAAAAAGAGAAGCGCCTAGACCACATTGACGCGGTTATCGGGCGGCGGACGATAGCACCAGAGGCTGCCAATGACGCCCAGGCCAATAAAGAACATGGTAAATGTGGACAGGCCCAGTATGACGCCCGTGGTGACATCGTGCAGGGGCAGTCCAGGAAACGGATCCAGCACCAGAATTAGCAGCAGGCCGCAGCACTTGAACAGGCAAAAGATGGTGACCAAGATGTAGCCGGAGGTGTAGCTGCGGTTTGGCAGCCATTCGCAGTGCCGCGAACGAAAGCCAAGAAAACCCAGACCCATGCCGCAAAATGAGGCTACCAGCCCGAACTGCAGGTAGAAGGACTTGCCGAACTAAGGCAGTGGAGAGTAAGTAAATGGCCACACATTAGTCGAGGCTGAGCAATTGGCAGAATAGAGTGTACTCACGTGGGCTATCATGTAGATGATGAGGCCGGCATTCATGGTGCTGCCCAGGACAAGCATCAGGGACACAACGGCCAGCGTAATGGTGGCATTGGCCAGCTTCTGTGGATAGGAGTTGTTGTTCACATTCGACTTGCCCTGCAGGCTGCTCAGATCCTGCTCCTGGCCCTGACCCTGACCCTGCACACGCGGACTAATCACCGCCATGGTGCGGTCACTGGGCAGTTGCTGTGCTGCCGGCGCCGACATCGGCGTCGACTTCACCGTCTCATAGTGCAGTCGCTGCGGCGAGAGTCGCTGCTGACGCAGCGGCAGCGCTGGAGAGGGCACCACCGAAATGGTGGCCTGTTGGTGTAGGTTAATGTGCTGCTGACTTTGGTAGAGCTGCAGGCGACGCTCGCGCTGCAGCTGCTCGTGGTGGGCCGCATTGCGGGGCGTGGAATGTGCCAGACGCGGTGGTGGTTGCATTTTGCGGGGTGTGGTGAGCAGTTCGTGCAACGCTCGCGTTGCAGCTGCCGCACTGCGCTGCTGCGGGGTCGATGTGCGCATGCTGAACTGTTGACTGAGCTCCGTGTGGCTCAGGCAGGTCTCCTGCTGTGCGTGTGCAGAGTCCTCCGCCAGATCGTCATCATCGGCTTCTGTGGGTATGACCGCATAGCGATGCGCGCGTCCATTGTGCATCTGTATGATCTCCTGGTTTTCGTCAACGAGCTCCTCATCCTCCGCCGTGGGCACCATCTGATAGCGCTGATTGCTGTTCTTGTCCACAATCAGAAATGTTTTGCTGCCAAAGTCGCTGGAGAATGCGTGCTTGATCTTGGGCGCCGGCTTCGGCGGCAACGCGTTCAATGTGGGCGGCAAGCTGGCGAACTGCGTCTCCTGCTGCTGATGCGGCTCCTCATGAAACGAGTGCGGCTCCTCGTCCGACTGCAGGCCTTGCCTCGAGCCATAGCGATCCAGATTATCCTGCGAGCGGGCCAAACGCTGTGCTGCCTGTCCCGGCACAATGGCATAGCGACTGGCCACGGCGCCCAGCTCCTCCAGCGGCACCAATGCATATCGGCCACTGGCTGACTGTTGCTGCTGTTGCTGCTGCTGCTGTTGCTGCTGCTGCTGTTGTTGCTGCTGCTGGTACTGTTTACGCGTCACCGAACGCGTCGACATGCTACGCTGCATGCGCAGCGGTCCCTCGCGCGGATCGCGACAGGGTGCAGCCGGCACCTGACCAGGTCGGGAGACCGCACTAAAGTTAAGCTGCAGGCTACGATTGTATATGGACTCAACCCTATTGCTCGACGGCACCGGATAGAACTCGCTGTTCTGGCAGAAAGCCGGATTCGTATAGTTGTGCTTAGACATGGCCGCACTGTACTTGAATATATGTGTCTAAGGGTTTTCACTGTCACTGCACACGTTCACGATCACTGGTAACTACTGTGGGCTAGCTAACTGGCTGACTGGCTGACTGGCTGACTGATCCGCACGGCACGACAACTGCGTCTCGACTGAACTGCGACGCGGGCTGTCAGTCGCTTCTCGGCTTGCAATTTCCTGCGCCGGCGCGCAGTCGAGTGGATCGGCAGCGACGCGTGCGTTGCTCTGACCCCCCTTTAGAATAAAATATAACCATTTACTTGGCTTATATACAAGCACACATATAATAATTGAGCTCAAGACAACTGTAGAACAACAACAACAACAACAACAACAATAACAAAAGCAACAACAACAAGAGGCAGGCGGCAGGCGTCGTTTGGCGCGTTCCCTTGTGCTGGAAACATCTGCTCCTGTTCCTGCTGCTGCTGCTGTTGCTGCTGCTGCTGCCTCTGCTGCCACTGCGACTGCCACATGAGGGTTGAAACGAATTTCGGTCATGCCGCAGCCGGCGTTGCAAGGTTTTATCAGTATTTTGAATTTATATTTACTCAATTCATAACAGCGAAATAGGCGACGGCAAAAACCTCACAAACATTCATGCACATATTTCAAGTTCTATATACTCTATGGAAACGCCCCTGGCTCTGGCGACCGTTACAGCATATGCTGTGCGCTTATCGAGTGTCAATAGTGTGTATATGTACACCACCTCTCCCACCACGCCAACTGTCCCGACTGTGTGCCTGTGGCCAGCCTATGTTGGCCAACTTAATTGGATTTCGCCCCAGCGGCGACGGTACCCACAAAACTACAAATCAAATCCAACTTTGACAACCGGCAGACGCTGCGCCTCGCTCTACCCCCAAGCGACCAATAGTTAGTTATTGTAAAATTTATGCATTGACATAAAAGGATGCGCCGTCAAAGGATCTCGCATATGTTCATTACCAACGCTAAAGCACAGCCAGGAGCTGTATCCTTGCGGGCAGCACATATCTGGAAAATGCTGGCGACTTCTACTGCTCGCCAAATGGAAAAGTTTTAGCTCGAACATTTAAATTAAAATTTGATTAGAGACAACGGGCAGCAGGCTCGTGGCACGCGCCACATGCGGCAGAGCCAAATGAGAGCAGATGAAGAGAGAAGAGCTGCAAGGATGCGACTGCGTTGCAATGACAGCGCAGATCCTCAACAACAGCTGACAGCTGTTTTGTCAGGCCCCGTCCGCTTATTGTGCCAAAGCGGACGCCGGCGAGGGGAAGGGAGGGCGCCATCAAGTAAATAAGATAGATCCTTTGCTTGGGCTCCTGGTGCTGGCTTGGTTTGTTGGCTGTTGGCATATTTGATTAGGGGAGTTGCCTTACCGCATCCGCTGCTTCTTTTATCCTGCATCTACGTCCTTCCGCTGCAAGCAGGGGCAACAAACATTTACCGCACAAACATGCTCCAGTATATAGAAGTATCTACATGTATATATACATGCCAGGGGTAGCTTAAGATATGCAGTGTAAATAACGCTCGGTGTGTGTTTGGCGCCGCATAGACACAAACGACAATGCATGTATATCTACACGTTCATGTTGCTGCCCGTTGCTGCAGATGCAACAGCTGCCACACGCACGTGGCTAAAATACTGGCGACAGCCATTGTAATTATGAGCATGCTAGCGCGAGTCTCGCCTCAGTCTCACCTGCTGGCTAGCGCTACCTAGCCCAATCTAAAAGCTCATTTGCATAGGAGATTATATGAAAAAAACTAAAATACATTTGGTCGAGTCTAACATACTAAAGTATACCCTGTACGCAGCTCGAAGATGAGCACTGACCTCCATTTACCCACATAACACAGCGCATGAGCTTCTTCTTGCCACAGCACTACAACATGCGAATTGAATTTCTTTAAAATATTGTGTGTGTATTATACGATATTTTTAAGATTTTCCAAGCTTGAATATGCCCATGAAATGGGTGCATATACGAACAATCAAAATTATATATCAAAAATGAATTATATATCCCTATAATATAACACATAGATAATATTGAAAAGCATATAACATACATATATACATATATACTGTTCTTAATCTTGTCAAATCTTATCTCTCAGTGTTAACTGACTTTGACTTTAGTTAGGTTCTTCTGTTGTAGATAGTACATGTATCGCAACTAGACCGAACCCTTATACCATTTAGCTATCGTAGGCATGATCGATCGAAAATAAAGTTCTTCAGTGAAACACGTCTACATTTCTTGAGATATCTTGACATTTGCGGGATTTAACATTACAAATAAGTTAAATCTTATCAACATCGCATATCAATATTATATGGGAACTGCCGTCTAGAACCTCTTACTTGTTTTTAACTGTGGGAAAGTAATATTTGCTTGAGAGTACCTGACGTGTCAAGCTTTCTTCCAATTATTCAGCTCCTAACTTATATAAACATCCACGAATTACTTTTGAATTAGCAAATGGAAGGCAATAAACAATCTAGTTTTTCTATAGCTCCAAATAACAGCTGGCGAATCTGTTTGTAGTCCAGATCAGCCTTAGAGTTGCCTGCTAGAGTTAGACGACAACATTATACCCGCCTTCGCCCGTTTGCAAAGGGGTATTTGAAATTCTGCACTCTAAGAAAGTATCTTAAGTGCATGCAAATGGTACGTAAAGCTACTCGTTGCATACTTGATTTAACGAAGCACATTTCGCCAGCGAAATGTATCCTTCAGATACATTTGTATTTGTACTCACTTCTTCAGATAGCTTAGCCTGTCCTCCTGCACGCGAATGTAGCCTTCTAAATTGCTTATCAATACAGATTCAGTCTCAAGTAGCTCCTCCATTTCCGCCAGCGCCGTGTACAGTTCCCCGCGCACCGCCACCCCAGTCAGGGCGAGCACAAGGACGCCGAGCGCCAACTGCAGACGCAGACAGGACGACATCGTGTAGCCTGCAAGGATATAGGCAAGTATAAATAATTAAAGCATTACGATTGCATTCAGTGTGTGTGTGTGTGTGTGTGTGTGTGTGTGTGTGCATCCAATAAATTTATGGCCCCTTTCTAATTTGCATAATAACTGTTTCTATTGGCCCAAAGGCGAGCCCCGCTGTCGCTGACCATTGACCGTGTGTGAAGGTTATTGGCTCACTAACTTTTCAGTGTATTAGGTAAAATTCATTGAGCCTGAAAACAGCTTTCGTAATAATTAATATCCTGCTCCCCAGCTGACACGGCTGGCTACTTAACTTTAAGATTTAAAGCTCGCTCGGAAACTGGAAACGGCACTCGGAACGCATTTCAAAACACGGCCTTACAATTTGTTTTAATGTGTTTTATTTTTTTAATTTGGCCAGCCGTACAGCGTTTTTGTTTTATGACATTCGTCGGTTTATTGCTCTAAGTCGTAATGCGCGGCAAAATAAAGTCAATAACAGCAGGAGCATAGCTCATGGCCGACTAAAAGGATACCCTGTGTATATGACTGAAATGAGTTTTTAAATGGAATTTTTTTATTGCATGCCAAAAATTGATTTTTTAATTTGAAATAGTTAAAGCGACTAACAGATACCCTGACATGATATTAAAGCAGTTTATATAACATGAATTCGATTATGGCATATTAAAAACGAATTTCGAATACCCTTTGAGTGAGCAGACTTTTCTTAATATAACTTTTATCTGTTAACTTAATTGCATGCATATTGAGAAAACTCTGGCATTATTAAGGAATAACTTGAGCGACTATGAAACACCCTGTATCAGTCAGTAGAGCCAAATAGAGAGCATGCCCGTTTTGCGGATCTATGATTTATACAAGTGGCAGATCTGATTGCATCTATGAATAAATTGAAATATTATTAGTAGATACATTTATAGGTGTGACTTTTGTGGCTTGTTGTTTTCGGATCTGCACAACAAGATCCCGTTTCGAATTAACGGTAATTAGTGGAAGCGACGCAAACAGCTTGTTGTTTCGGTTTATGTGAAGATAAATTAACTATTGCGATTAATTAGCAGCACGCTGTTGATTAGTGTATTTAAGATAAATGCGTTTTTAAGCATGTTTTATGGATGACCGAAACGATTTAATTTGCATTGAAAGCGTGCATATATATATATATTAGATATTGCACACTGTTTCGGGCTGAATCGGCAGGACATTCTGCTTGCCTGCCTGCTGGCAAGGACACATGCAGCGTAAATGCTGTTTAATTAGTCAGCATTAATTATTTTGTCTTTTGGTCTGCCGCACACCGCACATCAAGCACACCTGAGAGACAGCCACCGCACCAAACGGACCGCACACAACCCAGTATGACACAATATCGCACTTGCACTCGGACTGTAATTGCGCACATTAATCAACGGCAAGTTCGCTTGAGTTGACAAATTCAAGACGAAGATGCGTCCATCTCCTACATGCTGCTTAACCGGCTGTCGGCCCGTGTTTGCTCGTCGAGCGAAATAAAACACGGCAGTGCATTCGCTAACGAATAATGACAACATTCGTCTTAATGGCTGCCCCGCCCGATCTTCTACAGATAATTTACTAATCAAATGGCAATCGACCGCGTTGTGCTACTTGAACGCGCTGCTCGAACAGACACAAATTCATTCCAACAGCGATTTCAACTCTCTGAATAACAAGTTGTAGCGGGTATGCACCTTTACAATTTCATTTTTTTTTTATGCGTTTGTTTTTTTCATTTGCCTAACGGTTTCTGACTGAAATTAAAACTTCAAACTGAAGCGATACGAAAAATACGAATTTATTTAATGACATATAACAGCGAATTGTCAACAGTATTTCAGTAACATGTTCATTTCAATTCTGTTAAAAAGAAAACATCACAACTGTGACGAATTTTATGCGAAACACAATTTTGATCAAGCTTTATTCCGAGTTTTCAAACAAAATATTTAGAATAAACTAATATTTTGTTGAAAATATAAAAACTAACAATTATTACTTCAATCCAGACAGAATGAAGCATGTTTGACCCCATAAAGTATATACATTCCTGATCTGCATTTGAAGGCGAGTCGATCTAAGCAGGATTAGCATTTAAATTTATTCAAAATCATGCAAATGAAACAAAAATATATTATTCCCTTTATGCTCAACAGTAAATCGTAATAGTTTTAAAACTTTTATCGTTTGCGTGCTGTTTGCTTTGCAATACTTGAAAACATTTCCAAAAAAAATGCTTGTCATCAAAAATTTAAATACTAGTATACTTAGCATTGTTCCCAATTCGTTTTTGCCAAACATATAAGCCCGATGAATTTATAACAGCACTGATTTCTCTAGAAGCCACAACATGTCAGAAAAATAAATAAAATGTGTTCAGTTTTTGATCGTCAAACCGGTTTAGCCCAAAGTTCGAGTTCTCAGACGATTTCTTAGACTCCGCATAGAAATGGGCGCCAAAGAAAAGGCAACTGAGCTCAGAAAGTGGACTAATGGATGCTGCAACGGTCTATGTAGATGAGACTGACAAAGTTCTAATGACAACATCGAAACTGATGTGTTTTTTTTTTCTGCGTTTGTGATGGGCCTTGATTGCAACGTGACTATCTATAAATTGGAGTTCAAGGAACTTTTGCTTCAAAGAATTTAGTTAGGCTCTGACGCAGCCGCATTCATATGCAAATGTATCTGACGGATACGCGTGGCTGATGCTCTGCGGCCGCCCACCGAACGAACAAGCGTCGCATTGTTTTCTCCTGGCAAACATTTAAATCATTAACGGTATTCGCCAAGTGGCCAATACGTTACACAATTCAACTTATTGAAATGCAAATAATCTTTTATGGGTGGCCGTGCCCCAACAGCGTGTTTGCAGTTGCTGCAGAAATTTAAGAAAAAAAAAAGAATTCGGAATGTTTTCTTTTAATGGGTTCACTGAACCGTTTGTTGGTTATTTCTTTCTTTAGTACAGCCACAGTACAGCACACTTTAGTACACAGCACAGAACAGGTGAAAAAAAAGTAGCAGCGATAACTTTTTGCCCAACAAATTTGAAAGGTGAAAAGTTTTGCTCCGAAATATGAATGTGGAGCATGCTGAATTTATGACTAAAACAGCAAGAATTTGCCAAATTCTATATTCGCAATTTTAGTTACCTTTGACCCTGCCGCTGAAATGCGGAAGCCAAAATAGAGAAAAAAATATTATACCTATTTTTAGTTTATGCATTTTGCGCAAAAGTTTTGTGTGCCCGACTGGTTGCCAAATGAATTCTTTGCTTTTTTATTTTTGATAAGGTTTCACAAATATTCCACATTCTATTTAAAACAAAAAACAATAAAAACGAGCTAAATAAATCAAATTGTATGCATTGTACCAGAGCTGCATAAATTGTAGATTAAAAACAAATAAATTGCACAATCCAGGCTAAACTGAAATGTCACGCTCAACATTACCATAGACTTTTGTATGGTTGGTTTCAATAAAAAACAAAAATCTTAAAGTAAGGATATCTACAGCAAGCCGAAGATTTGATGCCCTTGTGGACATTTTCCCTATAAGTCTATGATAGATAAGTCTGATATTTATAAGATTTTGCAAAAGTGTAGAAAGCATAATGAAAATAAAATAAATGCCAATTCTGTTTAAGATATCTTGACAACCAAACCTGTTTTCCATATAAGAACCCACTTTTCGAACTATATCATCATCATTCTGGAAGCACTGTGAAATTAGAAAGTGCTCATCTTGGTCAATATAAATTGTTAAACAACAAAGTTTTCCCTACAAGAGCCTACTACAAAGCCAAACCCATCCAAGTTTTAAGGCGATATTTTTAAAACTGTAAGAGTACTACGCATGGAAATTTAACTGTTGTAGCTGATCTAGAATATATACACATGACTTCCATAGGTAATTCCATGAAAAAATTATGATACCCTCTACAAGGGTATAGAAATGCCAAAATGTGTTCATATATAGAACAATGCACAGTCGCTGAAAGTTGAATTTGTTGATGATTAAAATGCAAATAAATGCAAAAGAATAATTATAAAATACTTAACACTTAAATTATGTTAATGGGCAAGCCAAAAAAATAATAATGACAATATACAGGCAATATATGGATATAAGACAGCAGCTTATGTTGCTCATAATTTTGGATTATGTATTTGCATTTCATTGATAAATATTTTATAGCGAGAGAGATGAAATAAATTTATGAATACTTTTTTTTATTATCTGTACATCATATCCGTTTAAATCACATTCAAAATGTTAAAGTTCCCGCCAAGCATGAAATGCATATGTTATTCAAAAGGTTTCCTACTCTGTTCAATTTTACGCTTTAGCATTATTCATATAATTTATAATCTAGAAAATATATAATAATTTATTAAAAGCTTTATTTTCAAGATATTTTCTGCATTTGCTCACAATATAACAGTATAACTGTTGTCAACGACAACTATCTATGTTAACTTTAACAGCAACAGTTGCCAACTCTGTTAATTGTCTGTTAACCTTTCTTGATTTATGAAGAACGTAAACGACCTAATGCCAATTCAAATAATTACATTTGCTCACAATATAACAGTGAATTTTCAACAGTATAACAGCAATCTGTTAATTTTAACAGCAACACTTTCTAGCTCTGCTAATAGACTTTAAATCATTCTTGATTAATTAATAATGTAAACTAATGATAATTTAAATATTTAATTATCAATTTATTACAATATCTGCCTCTTGTCTTACTTGTATTTTCATTTG